GGTGATGATCGACCAACTTCGTGCCACCAACCCAGGCGTCTACTACGGAGAGTCTCCCGCGCCTGCAGTGCTTTCCCAGATCGCTTCCGCTCTGCGCATCATCAGCGGTGAGCTTGTTCCCGGCCAGGGCGAGGAGCGATTGCAGCGATTGGCTTTCAATTCGCGGTATCTCCGTCTCGGATTGAAACGTCTTGGCTTTATAGTGTATGGTCACGACGATTCGCCAATCGTCCCAGTCCTTCTCTTTAACCCGGCCAAGATGCCTGCATTCTCGCATGAGATGCTCCGGCGAAAGATCTCTGTTGTTGTTGTTGGTTACCCGGCCACTCCGCTGGTCTCGTCCCGTGCTCGTTTCTGTGTCTCTGCTGCCCACACCAAGGACGATCTTGACCGTGTTCTGACCGCTTGTGATGAAATTGGCAACGTCCTTCAGTTGAAATTCTCTACTGGTATTGCGGGCGGTGCACTACCTGCTGCCGAACAGCCGGCTCCTCCACCAGAGCTGGAGAAGGAATGGCATCGCAAGCGCTCGGACAATATCTCCCCTCCCCGCTGGCGCGTCGAAGATGTCATCCGACGCGGAGTCCAGGATGTCAAGAATCCACTGTACTAGTACTAGATTGGCTTCTATCTCCAACCGGTTGACATGGCGTTGTCTTGAGTTTACTAGGCTTTGAGATGAGTCTTCGATCGGGGTTATTTTCCACAAGCACGGTTGTTGCTGGTCACACCGTGCCCGGGTCTTAATTCCATGTGTCCCTTTGATCTTTGTTCGGAGTTCCTATGCTTCTTGTGTCTTTCGTTGGATTTTGGTCCTAAAGCACATGCATGAAAGCAAGTGAACTTCCTCAGACTAGGAAGCAAAGGGGAACTCGGGGGAAAAACGGAAAAAACCCAAAACGGTCATGAGTTATTCGAACAAGCCACGAATGAATATGCCCCGTTTCCTATGATCCTTCTACTCTTGCTTCTTCATGTTTGCATCCATACAATATTTCATGTTACTTTCTTTGTTACTGTTCTTATTCTTCTCCAGATATTGCCTAATACTGTTCTACCCATTCAATGCTCTCAACCCTCGCTGTATCTATCCGGCAGAACCCTGCCAATAGACACCGAGATTGGGATGCCTGATGGGAAGCTTGCTCCGATGTACAACATGTATCATTCTGCAGGGCAAAGGCTGGCTCCTTTTCAATTCTTTTTCTTTTTTTGCTTTTGTTCTATTTCTGCCTGTGATCAACCTAGCTCCCTCGTTCCGGCCCTGGGGGTTGATTTTCATTTCAACTCATAGGGTCTCGATGTGTTTATGGCAAAGGACTTGATCATTCCAAGGTTGGATTTTGCGTTATGGACATGGTTATGGTTATGGATATGTATGGATTGGAAAGGGGACCACGGGCTGAGTATGGCTATTTCCGCACGACCCCTATGCAAAATACGGTATGTCCCTGTCCTTAGCTACTCGGCATGTATTTGTCGAGTCTCTTTGCTTCGTTTAGGGATTCCCTATCTGGGTTTGTGATGGCTCGTCGTCGATGTCTGTCTCTTATGTCTTTTTTTGTTCGACTACTATGTTTATAATAGATGATCGGGATAGCTGTTAATATTATTCGATTCTTTTGATCTTATTTGTATTGGACATTGTTCTACAACAGGTTCCGGGGAACTATACCCTGGTGATAGTCAAGGGTTATATATAGAAAAGTCAATTTATGCTTTTTACAGCCTTCGTATACACCTAAGAAGACATCAAAAATGACATAAAAAGACCGTCCAAAACACACATCGGAGGGTTCTTAGATATATCATCCCTAATACCATCTTAGTCCAAATAGATCGGATTTTTCAAGATTCAGGTCGGCGAGGACAGAGGCCGTATAAGCGACTATTTTTTTAGGGTTTATATTGGGAAAGGCAAGACAACCTTGGGAGGATGAATATGTAAAGGGAAACATAAATGATCTTTGCTGTCCCAGGAAGTGAGGACATCTGGAGTTAGAAGACTTTGATACGATTGGGCTATCACACTGTGGTCGAGCTTTCCTTTTTAAGAACCTCTCCTTCCCTCTTTCCCTCTTTCCCTCTTTCTATTTTTCTCTTTTCCTATTCTGTCCCTTTCTCCTTCTCTCCCTCTCCCCCTCTCTCCTGCAACTGTTCTGGCTCTGGTCCTACATCGCCTTTTTCACTTCTTTCACTTCTTTCACCGGCCTCAAGCTCCAAGGTGTGAGCACCGCTGCAAACACCCTAAACACCAGAGCCCTAGAAGAAGCTCCTGATCACGAACCCATGGAAATTCGCCAGGGATACGGCAACTTGTGTTGTCCTTGCTTTTCTTGCCCTTAATCATTCGATCTTGTCTCCTCCAAACCCTGCCGTTATTGTTATAGATTCGGGTGGATACAGACTTCATGGCCATGGAGCTGTCCACGGGTAGCAGCTTCATGGAAATTCCAACAAATTGTATGCATGGATAGTAACAAGGTTGGTTGTCTCTATTCTGGAACCGTTGGGATTTCTCAAAACCTTGCCAACAAAATGGATACGTTGCAGGCCTCTCACATCTTCCCTTATGTCCGGGGTGGATCCTAGAAGCCAAGTGACAGACACTCGCTTGCAGAAGCGGCTATTTGGGGAAGGATAACTGGAGATTGCCAGAATAATTGACTCGTGCAGTCCGCTTCCGCGAAGAAACACTATGAAGAAGAGAGCTGTATGAAGCTCACAAAAAACCCTATTCGATGTTTTCAGCAAGATGAACTCCATTCTCGCAAAATCTGGGATTTGCATTGGTGGGAACTGACCTACCTTGCCATTGTGATTGTCTGGAGTCTGGTTAAGATGAAAAATCCTGGATCGAACTCCCACGGCCATGCTTGCTGCTACCCGATACACCCCCAAGAAAGGCGCCAGAGTGGTCCCCATATACTCGATACTCCTTCCCAGCGGGGATATCTCAACTCACTTTTGTTTGGGAATTCCAGGGCAAGGAATCCAACGTTGCGATCTTTGACATGGTCCCCACGAAACGCCTTGGCTTTATTGGATTCCAGCCCTGATCATGACGAGAGCATTGAGCGGCTCGCGATCCAGTTCAGGAATCACATGCTCGGTATCGGCCCAGATTGCGCGAATCGGCTAGCTATGGAGGATTACAAAGAGGAAAAGCAAGAGTGTGTCCTCGATGAGCTTCTTCCTCATAGCCTTTCAGACAGAGAGACTGTGTTTTCCTGGTCTGCTTTTCCGCTGATCACCTTTTTGATTTCACCACAACTGCGCGCTTACCATCTCCACAAAATAGTATCCGAAGGAGGGAAGAAAGCCATAAACACGTCCAGAAATCTCGCATAAAGAGTAAGCCCATCCATCTTCAGGCCGAAGACACCTGGAAGGAGCCAATGAGGTGGAAAAACAAGATATGGAGCTTAAGAGGGCGCCCAGACTGCGGGCTGCTGTTTGGGGGAGAATACTAGATATTGTCGGGGGATTTGGCTCATGCAGTCCGCTTCCTCGAGGGAGAACCATGAAAATGACAACACGGTCACACATAATACAGGTTCGGGAAGATAAACTTGATTCTCGCGGGATCATCTGGGTTCCAAACCGGTTGGCAGAAGCCCTCTCGTCGACCTCCTAGTCAAAAGAATCACGCGTGATAACCGACCACGGCTGGTCGATAGAAAAGAAAGGAAGCGCCATCCTCTCCGGATCTTAAAGTCTAGGTAATGGCTTGGGCTGGAGCGTGTCATCGACCAAGGCCACCAATTAGCGGCTGTGCAACCGGTTCCGATCAGAAAGTCACGCTTCATAACCAGCTCCCTAGAAGAGGCACTTCAGAGAGCTCAACCCCTCTCTTCAGGTCATGGTAGGTAAACCAAAAATAAAACAAGCAACATTGTACCATATGTATTTGGCTAACTTTATCCAGCGAGGAATTTATCACTTGTCCATCACATCACTGCCCAAGTGAAGCCACCATATTGCGATGGCTAACCGCCCCGAAAATTCACGACTTGTTCACAGGCAGAAATAGCATGGGGATACGGCCGGGATAATAGGAGGTAGTACTTGACCGGAAGACCAGACTATACTCTTTGGGACGATGAGAGAGGAGACTTCTTCCGCTCCTCATTCGCAATGTTTTCGTCGTTGAAGCTAGTCATTTCCTCGTGTACAGTACTCGAAAGCCTATGTATGTTCTAGAGCAAAAGACTGTCTAAGATTCACTCTTTCCCATGAGGCATTGAGATATGTAGCTGTGAAGTCAACCTGGTCCCATTGTAGCCCGTATACATTGATGAGGGTGAAAGCCATCTTTATCGTGATTCTAGAGATGACTGGTGTGTAGAAAGCTTCATCCTCATTCCTTGCTCGGTATCAATCTCGCACTTTATTGTATAGATTTCCTGGATGTTGATATGTCAAGAATAGACGAATAATCTGGATGTCTATAGTTAGCTTGAAGACACCAGCAACGCTATTGATAAAATACTACTACAACAACTACGCCTGCGCTGGAGAATAAGTATTCAGTCCGGTCAATGTGAATGGTATTTTTATCATGCTGAGGTTTTACGCTTTTATATCAGGCGGCCGGGTCACGCCAGGATCAAAAGAAAGAGAGAAAAAAACAAGTCGGGATCATTTCCACAAGACGGGAGAGATCCTCTGCACCACTCCAAAACAGTGGACTTCGAAGAGCCTAGAAAAAGAGAACAGGGAAGAGAAGATTTAAATACGACAAAAAAATAGACAAGGCGCAAGCAAACGCCTGTCCGCAAAAACAGAGGGATATCATTAAGATTCAAAGAATCCAGACATGTCGCAAAACAACAATTTGAGAAGGATAAATTGAACGGGGAAGAAGAAAGAAGAAAGAAAGAAAGAAGAAAAAAAAAGCAAAAAAAAGCAAAACCATAAGACTCGTATACTCGATAAGTCGTCAGGGAGGAAACCATTCCCTCCACCAGTAGATATGATATATCTCGCCAGGAGGCCATTCACTCGTCTTTCAGGCTTCCGACCAAATTGCGAAGCACGTCCATGATGACGGCTTCGTCTTTTGGCTCGCCGCCTGGGAAGGAGCTTTCTGGCGCATCGCCCAACACGCGCGCACGCGCACTCCGGAGAACTTCCCGGATGTAGTTCTTGTCCTCGTAGTCTTCCATGAGAACAGCTTCAAAGTCATCGATTGCCTTGTTCGCTCGGTCAATGAACGAGGATGACTCTGGTGGCCCTGGTGCGGAGTTTTGCTGAGCAGGGTGTTGCTGTTGTTGAGGGTGAGAATGGGCCGGGAGGCCTGGAGGCGGATGATGCTGGTGCTGATGTTGATGTTGGTGTTGGTGTTGATGCTGCGGCTGGTGCTGGTGGTGAGGTAGCTGATGTTGCTGCTGAGGGGGATGCGACAGCGGCTGCGACTGGGCTTGGACAGGTGGCTGATGCGGATGCTGATGTTGATGCTGCTGTTGGAACTGCGCTCCACCAGACGGAGGGTAGGCCCGAGGTTGCGGGTTGTTGTGAGGAGGTTGAGAGGATGGCGGCTTTTGTTGTGGATAAGGGGAATGGTGCTGAGGTGGTCCGTGAGGAGGCCGTGGGGTCTGCAACTGTTGCTGCTGGCCACCTTGCGGAGTAGGGGCGGATGCGTAGGGCGAAGTGTAGGTTGAAGGGATGGTCGCCGCGAATGCAGCTGGGAGGTTGTTGCGGAGCTGACTGGGGATGGGGAAGGATGCAGCTGGATTGATAGGTGGTGCTGGTGCTGGCGCTGGTGCCGGTGCGGGTGCCGACGCCGGTGCCGCCTGTACTGGTGCCGGTGCCTGTGTAGGTGCGGGTGCGGATGCGGGTGCAGACGCGGGCATAGGAGCCGGAGTAGGTGTTGGCGCAGGCGACGGGATAGGAGCAGAGACAGGGGCAGGTGTAGGCGCCGGCGGGGGTGCCGGTGCCGGTGCCGGTGTCGCAGACTGTGGCGGGGGCGGAGCAGGAGCAGGAGCTTGAACCGGCGGGGCAGGAGGAGGAGCGGTGGGTGTAGGAGCAGGAGCCTTCGATGGAGGTGGTGGGTAGGGACTGGCTCGTGGTGGAGGTCCTCCCACATTAACAGATGCCGGGAAAGGAGCAGGCGGTATGGAAGGGAATTGGAAATGCTGTGGCGGATTTGGCACAGGCGGTGGGCCCTGGGGTGGTGGTGCATAAGAGTGAGACATCTGAGGCATGTACTGCTGGGGAGCAGGTGGAGGAGGGTGGGACACCTGCGGCGGCGGCGAAGGGCGTCGTTTCTTTTCTTTCTCAACTGACGCGCCGGGAATAAGCTGCCATGACCAACCCTTGCCATCTCGCTCTGCGTGCATGAACAAATGACCGTTGCCGTTCAGGTTGTGCCGTACACTGGATGTCCAGCCCTCAGTCTCGCACTTGAAGCGGAAGTACGGATACTTCAGTTTCAGCGCACGGTAGATCTGCTTCAACGTCATTGGCGTGCCGGCTTCCGTCAGAGCATCAAAGATGAGAACGGCGTAGTTGTACGGAGGCTTTGCCAGATCCTCGGCATTGTAAGCAGACTCCGGAGGATAATTGGGAGATGGTGACCGTGATGGTTTGCGCTTTTTGACCGGTGGGGGTTTGACGTATTCTTGCGGGGGCTCTGCAGACATCTGGCCACCTTCCGTTGAGGGAAGGGGAGATTCCATTGGTGTGCCATCCAGCTTCTTCCTCTTGGTGTACTTCCGTTTCTCGTTTGGTTTATTTGTTGGTGACTCGGGAACGACAGATTCTTTGGCAACTGTCTTCCCAGCCTTGGGCACTTTGAGTGGAGGTGGTGTGATCCCTCCGTTGGCCTCGCGTTTTGCAGCAATTTTCTGCTCCCGGGCAAGCTCAGCTCGCTCGCGCTTGGACATGATCCCATCCTTGGGAGGGCGTCCTGGTCCCCGGCGGCGGGCCGGCTGCGAATCGTTATCCCCAGGCTCGATAGAATCCATGGTTTGAGACGATTTGGAATCCTTTGTCTTGAGGATGATCTTCTTTGAAGGTTCCCTGCTCTCGCCGCTGTCGCTTCCAAGTCTCTCCGAGTCATCGAGATCGTCATCCACTTCGATCGAAGCACGAGCATCTTTCTCTTCTTCCTCTTCTTCCTTTTCTGCCAATTTTTCTTCCATCCGGTCCGCTCCAGTTTCGCCAATGGGGACGTCTGGTAGCAAAAATCGGATGCGCACGCCTCCAATTTGGATGTAGTCGCCGCTGTGTAACGGGCGAACTTGCCCCGGTGATAGCCAATCAGCCCCAATGAACGCTCCGTTGCGTCCCATTACTTCCATTTCAAACAAATTACGATCAAAGTTGTATGAGATCCGGACATGCCTCCGAGAAATCCCTCGGTGGCCTGCGGCACTGCCATCAACGGTCGTTGGGGGGTGGATTGGGATGGTGGGACAAGAATCAGGGGATGGGAGCAAAGCCAGCGCATCAACGGGCTTTGCGTCTCCGTTTCCATCTTGCAAAGATTGCATTGCGAGCGCATTGTAGTCGGTTGTCGATTGTAGTTGAGCCGGGTTTGCATGCAATGGTACAACAGCCTCGTCAAAGGAGGATTTTGAGGATCGTCGGCTCATATTCATATTGTTCGGAAGATGCGGGGGTATATCTGGATCAAAGCCCATAATACCTCCTCGATCACTGACAACACTGCCCATCATGGCAGCGCTTTCCTCCCGCTTCATGCGGTTCGGGGTGTGGGATGTGTTTCCTCCACTTGAACTCTTCGCCCGAGTGCTTCGCACGGCCTGCCGGTACTGGAACTCTCGGTGATGGGCGGCACGGGCGGCGCGCACGTCTCGGCCTAGGATGAACGAGTAGGTATTGACGTAAAAATGCCCATCGTCAAACTCCAACTTGGCGAATGCTTGAATCTTAGGCTCCGATCCAGCAATTGAGGCCGCCACATCTTGATATCCCAGTGCTGACAGATCGGCGTTCTGCGAAAGAAAGGCGGCTGTGAGTAGCTCGTTTTGGTGGAGGGCGTCAAACGCATTTTTTGGGGCGGCAGAAAAATCCAAGGCTGGGAGGAGTGAGGGTTGCTCGGTGTTCAATTTCGGGTTCATGGGGTCGGACAAGGTCCCCATGGCATCGGGGTTGAATCCTGTGTGGTTCATATCCTGGTGCGCGGGATTTGCTCCCATGAGCTCGTCACCTAAAGCTTTCCCATTCAGCAAGTCCTGAATCTCACGAGATATTGAGGCCGTGTCTCGGTGCAAGCTCGGGCCGATGGGCGTGGAGTTTTGGGCAGCCATGTCAAATGGCTGGGAGATTGAGTCGTCCATCTTAATATCCATGTGAATATCCTGGTCCTCGTCCTGTTGTACAGGTTGTATCGTGGTAGGTGTAGAGTTCGCGGCTGGTTGATTGCCAAGAAGCTGTGCTAGGAGTGCACTTGCGGCGCTTTGCGTGTTTGCATCTTGTTGGTGTTGCGCTGCTGAAAAGTCGTGGCTGTCCGAGCATTCAGTTTTGATTGCGACGTCCGGGGCGGGCATGCCGTTGGGAGTTGACGGGGCAGAATTATTCTGCATGGCGCGGATTGCGGAGTCGTCTCGAGGATTGGAAGGGGGTGTAGTGTCTGGTGAGCAGCCATAGTCGTATAGGGGACTATCGGGGCCTGGGTCAGGCGGTCGATGGCCCACGGCTGGCGCAGTCATGGTCTGCGACGACATGACAGGCTGGTGCTGGGGAAGGGAGAGGAATGAAGTTCCAATGAGAAGGGAAGTTCTCAACTTGGAACCGGGCGGTGAGCGATGGCCGAGTTGGTCGCTGCAGAAGGCCGTAGTCACCGCTGAGCCATGTTTTTTTTCCCTTCTTTTTGGTTGTTTTTCTTTAGTTCTCAATATCACGATTTGACTTGACGAATTCACCAACAAATATGAATCTGGAAAGGTTTACGGTTGGAGAACTGGAAAGGAGAGCGCCGATGATCCTCTTCCGGGACAAATTTTCTTTCCCGCCCCGCCCAAATCCATATTCTCTCCGACCTGATCCACCTAGATGGACTGCCCGCAGTTGGTTCCTCACCGAGTTTGTTGATCAAAAGAGCCTAGATCTATATATTGGACAGCGGAGTATGCTTCTATGCAATTGACCTCTTGTTTAATCCTATAATCTCATATTGCCTTGGCCTACTGTCTAGTTGTCTAAGGTGGAGTCGACCCCTCTGATATTCGGTGGCTTGCCTCCATTACCTAGGTACTTGAGATGAGGGGAAGCCGTGATAGTAGTAATAATAGGTATTTTAGGCGAATACAATTGATATCGAGTCTCAAAGTCCGTGTGTATGCAAGGGGTGTACGATGCATAGTATACATATTCTGGGGAAGCGGAGTATATATACATAGAAAACGAATTAGCCTTGTCTATACCATCTGGGATCATCTTATCGCGATAAAAAAACGCCAACCTAGACCCTTCTACCTCAACCTATATCTTCACCCTACACCTACACCTACTCAAACAAGAACCAAAATGGCCCCAAAATTTAAAAAACCCGATCCAAAACCCCAACCAAAAACAACAACTCCAAACTGGCCTCCCCTCCGCCCCCTCCTCCCCGCCGCCGATCTAACCCTGACCCCCCTCCTCACCGACCAAATCTACCTAATCCGCAACTTCCTCTCAGGCACTCTGTGCAAAACCTACGCCTCATTCCTCGCCTCACTACCACTAACAACAACACCGGGAGCCCCAAAGAAAGACAAGGCATTACGCGTCAACGACCGGTTCCAGATCGACGATGCGCGGTTTGCGGAGATGCTGTGGAGCACGACGGCGCTGAAGGAGCTCGTCACGACGCGCTTTGAAGAAGACGAGTACGGGTATGACCAGGACGCGGAGGATGACAGTGCTCTCGCCGAACGCGCACGTCAACTCTGGGGCGGGGACCCGTTGGGGTTGAATCCTAATATTCGCATTTATCGATACTCTGCGGGGCAGTTTTTCGGACAACATTGTAAGAAGCTCTTTATCCTGGATTGTATAAGGACTTTTCGTACACCCAAGCAAACTAATCTAACATCGCAATCGCAGACGACGACGCCAACAACATAACCCTCCCCCCACCAAACTTGCGCTCAAAAGCAACAGCCGCACGAACAACCTGGACCCTCCTGGTTTACCTGACGTCCTGCACAGGCGGCGAAACAATCTTCTACCCGGAGCCGACGCGCGCGAACCGCAATCCGGAGCCGATAGCTGTTGCGCCGGAGGTTGGGATGGCGCTGTTGCATCGACATGGAGATCATTGTATGATACATGAGGGGGCTGAGGTAACTGGTGGGGAGAAGTGGGTTTTGAGGAGTGATTTGGTTGTTCCGAGGTGATATATACATGTACTGGTGTGGATTGCATTTGGGAGTTACAAGGTTGTAGGCGAGGTGCAGTACCTCTGGACATATGGAACATAGCATAATCGTAGTGGGCGGGTTCCTACGCGACTCGACTTGGAGTTTGGGGTATATAGACATGCATATGGGAATTGTGGGAAATGGAACACAAGTTCTAATCATTCTGCTGGATAATACCTAAGTATTGGAGGGTCCGAGTGAATTAACACAGTAGCAAATGGATAATATGAACAAGGACGAAAGTAGGTCCTTGTCACAGCACGCATAAAAGAGACAGGAGTTGTAGATACAAGTCAGATAGTCGTAAAGAGTGGAAAATTTGCTGGGAACGAGGAGATGGGAGACAAATAATGAACATGGAAAAAAAGGTAGATCATCAGTTATTGGGATAGCAGGTGAGTGACAGATGACAAGAGAGCTGGATCTCGCCATGAGGAGTCTAATTTCCTGGCTCAAAAAGCTCCCGGATTCAATTTCATTGTATCATATCAGATTGGTTTGGAAACAGGAGACCTCTCCCCGTCCAGATCATACTCGGCCCCTCTCATCATCCCCTCCACGGGACCGAGAAGCCGCTTGAATCCGTCCCGACCCAACCGCGCCACCTTCACATCCGTCTTGGTGGTGATGCTCGCCTGGCGTGGCTTGTCGTCCAGCAAGGCAAGCTCGCCGAAGTAATCACCTCGGCGATAGTTCTTGACTGGCCCGGAGACACCGTTCTTGGTAGCCTCGGCTTCGCCCGACTCCAAAAGGTAGAAAGCATCTCCGGGATCGCCTTCGTGGATGATGGTGGAATTAGCCGGGTACTTGATGGTGTCCAGAGCATCAGCGATCTTCGAGCGCTCGTATGGCTTCAGAGAAGAAAGTAGCGGGACTTCCTCCAGGAAAGCCTCATACATGCGACGGCGTTGGAATGCGGAGTCCATAAGGATGCGGCGGAAGGTGATGCGGTCGAGGGCCCACAAGGTGCTCTTTGGCTCGGTGGAGATCACTGTCGCAGCACGCGGGGCATTGTACATCAGAGCCAGCTCGCCAAAAGATCCTCCGGGTCCAGTGCTGGCGACCTTGTTACCCAAGCCATCGGGGCCAGGCTGCACGGCGCCGGACGGGTGGATATAGATGTCAAAGTTTCCCTTCTCCACGATGTAGAAGTAATCACCGGCGTCACCTTGGGAGATGACCTTGATATCCTTCGCAGGGATGGGTTTCTCAACGAGAGCGTTGAGGACGGTCAAGAATTGATCATCGTCGAGGTGGGAGAAGAGGAAGTTGCTACTGACGGCGCTCTTAAGCCGGGAGGCCTGCTCTTCGGTCTTTGGGTGGTGAGGAGGCGACCAGCTATCCGAGCCAGCTTCAGTGGGATTTAAAGATTCCGCTGAGACAGATGTCCGACGACCAAGCGCGTAGTTGGTAGGGAACCCTTGCTGTGCGGATCGTGCCGGGAGGGGGGCTAGCTCCCCCTCCTGCTCGTCCTCCTCCCCCGCAGTATCCTGGAAGGGACTCCGGCTGAACAACGATCCTCCCGTTTGTGATCCTCTCTCACCGAATGCACTACCTCCAAACAAAGCGGTGCCCGGTGGCATAGCACTCGAGTTAGACTGTCGGAAAGTCAGGTTTGTTGGTGACGTCACCTCGAACTCGTCGTCCTCGGAAATTTTTGGGAAGCCAGCAGATTTGTCGCCAGCTCTGGTGTTGATGACCGGGGTCACGTCCGGAGCAGAGTTCTGTGCCATGAGGGCGTTGGGGGGTTGAGGGCCTGGGAGGCCGCAACTCCGGGGTTGAAGCTGAGAGGGATGGATGTGGGACGGGCGAAACAGAGATGATATCTGTGGATATTAGAAAGGAATGGATTAAATAGAGAGATTGAGTCGGAAGAGGAAAATGTAGGAAGTGTAGGGAAAAAAAGAAAGTAGAAGAGGTAGAAAGGGTAGAGTAATGAGGAAGCAACGGAGGGGCAGACAGTGGGGGATTATTGGTTGGAGTCTAATTGTAGGGATACTGCATGACCTCGTCTCTCTCTCTTCCTTTTTTTTTCTTTTTTCTTTTTTTCTTTCTTTTCATGTCTCGGAAAGTAAAATGGAATATTGCAAATTAGAAAGAAAACGCAAGTGAAAGCAAGCGAAACCGGGAAATTACCTGTGTCTTTAATAAAAGGAAGCTCAGTCCGGAAGCTGTACAGCTTTATAAAAAAGCGGGAAGATCAATTTGAAGACAAAGTTGGGAGATATTGAAATAATGGAGAATTGGAATTGGAAAGATGAGGGGTAGAGACACACTAAAGTTGGTCTGAGCTTCGTCGATCATTGGGTGTTCGAATTTCATTACTACGTACTACTAGTTAGTAGTAGTGTGCTATATGGTACTATGTTGTATCTATTATGTACTATGTATGGAGTACTAACAGTGATCGACTTCCCATACTTAGATGTGGTATAGTAAGATAGTAATTTGTTATAAGATTTAATATCGAGAAAATGACCAAAGCTTTTAAGCCCCGTCTTCTAAACGTCTTCTAGAATTACAAACTCGCCACTTTAGTGGCGGGAACCTTAGAAGGTTCCCAGGTCACCTATGTCATAGACTCGTTTGCAAATGTCACCTTATAGGTTTTTATGGTGGAGAAAACACCTGCAGAACCGCAAAATCCAGGAAACTTTAAAGCTTCAGATGTTCCATGTTAATCCCTGTGGAACGGTAATTCCAAAAAGTTATAATATAATGGTTTAATATTGCTGCCATAGCATAGCTGTAAGCTAGATATAAGCTACTCCTTAGGTAGTAATTACTTGGCCATATAAACCCTAAACGGAAAGTCTAGATCGGGCGCATAGACCCGGTCACAGCCACGGTTCGCCCCCAGCCCCTTGATATATGGCAATATCTACTACTGATGTTGCATAAGGAGAAGCAGAAAATTATATAGCGCTAAGTCCTCTCCAGGGTCAGGCACTGGTCTGTGTCACCCCCCACTGATTTAGTATTCACTAGGGCCTTTTTCCCTATCTTCTTTCCAAAACTATCTCTGTTTTCCACTTTTTCTCTTCAACTTGTGTGTTGGAATCAATATGGGTACTTTTACATTTCAATGGTGAGTCAAGCTTCCAACAGGACCCCCCTACTTAGGGATCTCGGTATCTCGGCATCTCTCGACATCCTCGTGGTACAATGCTGAGACGGTTACTTGCAGGCCTCACAATGCGAGCGAGGTGTTCGTTACAGGCACTTTCGATGATTGGGGTAAGACGGTGAAACTGGACCGGGTGGGCGATATTTTTGTCAAGGAAGTGACTATATCTCCCGTACAAAAAGTCCACTACAAGGTATGGACATCCTTTTTTTTTTTCTCGCACCTTCCTTTTACGCCTTTGCCTTTTTCCCCTCTGTAGATTGGATGGCGGTGAGCCTTAGGCAACAGGGCTCTTCCACTGACGTCACCTGTACCGCTTTCCATTTATAAAGTCGCAACTTCCCGGAATCCCCAAGGTTCCAAGATTCCATTGTCTAGTTCCTCGCTGACTGAAAAATAAAAAGTTTGTTGTCGACGGTATTTGGACTACAAATCCCGACGTACGTGAAGAAGAAGACGGGCATAACAACATCAACAACGTGCTTCTACCTGAAGAGATCAAGGACGCCGACTTCGCCCCCACTATGTCTGGCGTGACCCCTGATTCTACAACCGCGGCTCTCGCTGCTAACGTTCCCAAGGAGCCCAATGGGGATCTACCTGGTAGCTTCCCAGAGACTCCGGGACAGGAATCCGAACAGACCTTTTCCGTGGATCCCATCCCAGCTTCGGGAGGTTATGGCAACCCCGTCAACCTGAACCCAGGCGACGAAGTCCCTCATCACAGCACCATCCACAACAAAACTGTTGACTCGGCTGTCACTTTGGACAAAGAGTCATATGAGAAGGGCCAAACTCTCCCTCTTGGCGCTGGGACCCAGACCACCGACACTAACGCTGACGCTTCCGCATTTACCCTTCCCCCAGTCACGAACAACATGATTCCTGAATCCAGTCTTCCGATCGGTGGACCCGCGCAACGCGCCGCATCCAGTGAGACCGAGCCGGTTTATACCGGAGGTCCGGCGCAGCAGGCAGCGATGACCGATCCAGGATACCACATCCAGTCCGCTGGCCCCAACTCAACCACGGCAGCACTAGCTGCTGGCGTGCCGCTGGAGTCAAAGGGCAAGCAGACCAACGGCGACAAGCCCGTTGACGAGGTCCCTCAAGTGGTGAAGGACTCGTTGGCCGAGGCCCACAAGGACCCGGAGGCTGCTGCGAACCGTGAAGCAGTCGAAGAGAAGCATGCTACCGAGGAGGAACTGCACAAGAAGATCCCCGTTGAAGAGTCCGCGGGGGCTCCGGCGCCTACTGTCACTGCGGCCACCCAGGCCATTGCGCCCCATCTCACCGTTGCTAGTGGTGTAGACTCGGCCGATGTGTCGCCGCTTTCGACCCCTCCGCTTGACCGCAGTTTTGCTGCTGCTACCCCATCTTCAGCCCTGAAAAACGCTGAGTCCACTGGACCGACTGTCACAACTGGCCTTGAGAGCACCCCCACTGTCGAAACCTCGACTGCCGAAACCACGGCTCCCAAAACTGCGGAACCTGCAGGCGTCTCTGCTGCGACGGGAGTTGAGTCTGCTCATACACCTGCTACTCCGACCGCAAAGTCCACAGAGCAGCCTTCCAAACAGTCCCAGAGCACTGAAGGTGGTTCAACTACTGGTGAGAAGAAGAAGAAACACCGCCTGAGTGGCTTTTTCGGCAAGCTCAAGGAGAAGCTTAAATAAGCGACTCAGAAATGTCAAATTTCATTGGAATCTGTTTTTTGATTCCAGTCCTGGGTGGTATAGTCTTGTCAAAGCTGACAGATATCCCATGCTTTTTCTCTGATGTCTCGCGTTCTTTGTTTCTGGATACCTCCTCCTGCCCTGCTTTACTGCATTGTATTCCTGCAAGCCGCTTTTTTGTTTATGCCTCGGCTAGTAATTATCGTCTAATGGAAGTACCTTGCTTTATGTGTTCATTCTTTGGTTGTTTAATATCGTACTTATACATCTGTGCCGAAGTCGGACCCAAACCCTCACTGCGTAAAATGTAGTACAGAACTCGGAGTATAAGCATGTTGATTCGACATGGAACATGAAACATGAGATCATAAGACCCAATCTCAATAGAATCTTAGAAAATAACTAAGAATTAAGAGTTAAGAATTAAGAACTAAGAAAGTAGGTAAAGAATCCAAGAATTCTATAAACTGCCCTTGTCATCTGAGTGGGGAGGCCGTTTCCTAATTCCGGTCTTCTCCACCTCAACCTTTCCCCGACTTTGGGGATTTCCAATCTTCCTTTTCCTTTTCCTTCTCCTCTGCATTGTACAAACCACTTTGATTTTGGGGGTCTCTTCACTACCGTGAGCACAAATATGGCCACCCCCACATTGTCCGCCATGATCGACCCGACAAAGCAGGCCGAATACCCAATTGTGCTGGGGGAGAGGCTTGCTCGAAACTCAAACACGAGCCGACTGATCAACGTCAACTACAACCACAAATCCAAGTCCGCCACCTCACAACAACGGTCGACCATAACTCACTCCCGATCGGCCGACCTCTACGACCTCGCCGTTACTGATAAGGCCCCGAACGCCGATCAAACATTGACCTATTCATACAAAGGCAGCGAGGACCCGTCGGCTGAGCGAAGCCTGGTTCTGATCTTCGACCCGGAGCGCAAGGTCTTTGTTTTAGAGCCGGTCTCGACAACCTTGAACTTTAATCTACGGTCGGCTCCAGGAAAGACGGAAAAGCAAGTCCGCGAGCAATACGAACAACTACAGATAAAGGAAGAGGATGAACCAGCTACCTCGGGCGAAGACCGGCACGGAGGGAGCACCAGCGAGGATGAGGGACCGGCCGACGATAGCAATCCTTATGACTTCCGACATTTCCTCCCGAAGAATCGCCGAGATGACAAGCCACCCTCAGGCCACAGCACCCCAGAACTTGCCACCAGCAGGGCCAGCACCCCTTTGATGCCGGCTGCCAAACCCGCGCCTAGACCTGCACCTCGACCCACAACACAAACAAACCCACTACGACAGAAGAAACCACCAGCAAAAGCACCAGCCAAAGTACACCCGCCCGCGAAGCCAAGGGAGCCTGTCAGCTATCCCGACCCGCCTGAACATGAGGACTCTCGCTCGTCGCCGTCCGATGCAGGCACGGGATCACAACAAGCCGGGCAGTCTCCCGGCTCGAACATCATTGTCGACGGAGATCTCATTATTGATATGGGATCTCCACCTCCGCGCCCACTCGTGGACCGGACTTACTTCTCGGCTAATAATACCCCAGCAGATGACGATGGGGACGAAGACATTGGGGAGTTTAGTCTGCCCTCCCCGGTCGGCAATACAGACACGGCTACTCAAGAGGACGAAGTGGAAGATGATGATGCTTTGGCGGCAGAGATGGAAGCCGCTTTTGAACAAAGTGCGCGTGAAGAGGAGGCTCAGAGGCACCATTACACTCAACCCACTACCAGGCAATATGTTCCCAGTGATGATGAGAGCGAGGTCAGTGAGGAGGAGTAAATGCCTGTTTGACTTTTTTGTTTATTGCATCTATCAGCGTGGCGCCTGGACGGACTTTGATTCCAAAGTACTAGATACCAATTGTAATTGTTATAGCGATTGTTTCAAGGAGTGTAATTGCATGACAATGACCATTTTAATTTACATGAAAGTTTATTAAACTTGTACTTCTTCCCTCTATGGATACAATATAATGGCTGTTCATTGTCATACTCGCGTCTCTAACATTGTGGCGGATAAATAGTTCCTCTCGGAAAAGCCATTTTCCGACCAAAAGCTTCCCTTGTGAACTGCGTCAATACGGAGATCCTTGCCGCCTTGCAGGTTATATGATAGTGCTCGATATCTAGGCAGCGCTCTGTTGTTTATATATTGCTTATCCCTGACCTCTCTTCTCCAATTCTCCGATCATCTCCCGCCGTGCACTCTCATCTCCGCGATGCGATAGAAAGCTCCGCCATGCTAGATTTGGCCTAACGACTGTGACGTTTGGAACGATAACGATTATTGTTAACCACTCGCGCGAGCTATTCCTTATCAGGCGCGCCGGATGCGCTTCATCTCTGTCGCCATTGTGTGAACAACCTCTCGATCTCATTCGTCTTTCCCTTCTTCACTTCGCACGGCCATGGCTTCCTCGGCACCGCCGAAGCGACGAATCCCCGGCCTACCGAATCCGGTATTGGAAGCAGAGCAGCAAAAATGGTTATTCACCGAGGAAGAATTCGAGCGCACGCCATCGCGCATTGATAAGATCGAACGCGGGAAGGAGGACTACATCCGGCACCGTGCAGTCGAGTTTATCTGGCAAGTGAGCGTGATGTTGAAGATGCCCCCGCAAACCTCAATGACCGCCACGGTGTACATGCACCGTTTCCTCATGCGCTATTCGTTGATGGGTCAATATCCAGAGATGGGGTCGGACCTGATGCACCCGAAGGTGATCGCCGCGGTGGCCCTGTTCGTCGCGTTCAAGGTGGACGAGGCCATGCGCCGCATGAAAGACTTCGTCATCGCATGCTGCCGCGTCGCCATGAAGCAGCCGAACCTGATTGTCGACGAGCAGTCCAAGGATTACTGGAAATGGCGAGACCTGATCCTGCAGAACGAGAGCGTCATGCTTGAATACCTCTGCTTTGACCTACAGGTCGAGTCCCCCTACCGCATCCTCTGGGACTACTCGGTCTTCCTAGGCGTCGGCGACAACAGGGCTTTGCGACACTCTACCTACTCCTTCCTCAACGACTCAACCTACACCGTCCTCTGCCTCCAATTCCCTCCCCGCGTCATCGCCGCCGCGGCCCTGTACGCCGCAGCCCGCCACTGCAAAATCGCCTTCCCTGACGACGCCGAAGGCCGACCCTGGTGGGAGCAGATCGACGTCCGCCTCGACGACCTCATCCGCGCCTGCACCTTCATCGTCAAGATCTACGAGCGTGTCCAGCAAAGCCTATCTAAGGGCTACCCGGAATTCTCGCTTTCAGACTCAACCTCCCACCCCAACGACCCAACCCGCATCTTCGACACCGATCCCACAAAATCCGCCTCAGAGCAACAATCCATCCCCACCCCTCCAACCCTCACCGTTACCTCAGACACGGCTTCAAATGGCCGCAAACGCTCGCGCGAACCCGAATCTCACTCCAACACACAACCACACCCACCCTCCCCACAAAATAAACCCTCTTCTACCCTCAACGGGAACGGTGACCACAATCGATCCCCTAAGCGCCAGCGAACCATAACCCCCTCCAACGAAGCGAACCACCCAACCGACCAAATAACAAACCCTCCAGCCCCCTCCCGTCCGCGCGTCCCCGCAGCCGCCTTATCCCAAACAAAAGCCACGCCTCAATTCAACTCCCTGTCAATCACGGGGGATAAGCCGGGACAGGCACCGGGATCATCCGCACAGCCCCCTCCGAAAGAAGAGTCCAGCGCCGAGGAAGGCGAAATCCATGAAAAACAACATGTGATTCCAGTCGGGCATCTCGGGCATCCTCCTCGGCATAATCCCCCGCCCACGGCGGATGTGGATTATCGGAGTAAACTAGATTCCGAGAAAGAGGAGGGCGAGGCTGATGATGATGATGGTCGTGCTGGAAGTGAAGAAGGCGAGATCTAGATTCCGAGATCTATACATTTGGGTTTCATCAGGTCGCTGTTGGGGAAGTATGGCCTTGGGGATACTATTTATGAGTGAGAATGAAATCCACGGAGAATGAACTTTCTCTTTTTTGCTTATCTACCAAGCTTTGCTGTACTTTTGTTCTGCGTCCTGATTTAATGGGGCTGTAGACGAAGTATTTTATGAATAGCTTCCAATGTCAAAAATGTAAGATTCAATCCCAGTTTTCCAGGTCCAGATGTGTATGCGTGTATTTTCTTACTCCAAATAAACGAGAAAAAGGAAGAAAACTCCTAATAGATATGCGATGCGAAAGTACCACTGATTGCGTTCAGATGATGCTTTTTTCAATCTTGTATTGCTTCAAATGTTCAGAACAAGACAACCAACTCAACAGGAAAACGATCCTAAGCCATATGTGTAATGCATGACATGCAATTCAATGTACGAAAACCGACACACCGGGACGCCTGCGAAATGTGCATTCTCTTCGTTCTCCCTTTCGTCTTCTTCCTTCTCAATTCCACCGGTCAAATCCTCGCATCTCAATTCAATATCCAGCAGTCATAACCCCCAACCCATGATCCAGCAAGCTGCTGGAAGCAACATAGCTAAACCCACCGAACGGATTACTCTCAGCACCAACGTCTTCGCCATCCGAGCCCTTGCCAGCCGGGAAATCCTGTCCCTTCCCATAGTACTCATCAAAGCCGGCGGCAGTGACCGTCGGGCTAAGTGCGAGGTGGGTGAAATCGACGGAGAAGTTCTCGGCGAGAGCGGGGTCCGTGACGACCGGCTGGATAGGCGGGTCGAGTTCACGGCGCTCAAGGGCAGCCCAGTCGATTTTGCGGAAGAAGCGATGCTTCTTGATTGTCTGCAGGTCCTTCTGCATATGGTAGCCGAGACGCTTGGAGGGTTCTTTACGGAGAAGACGGGTGAGGAGATCCTTTGCGTCGGGACCCAGGAAGTAGGGGAGCATGAGCTTTTGCTTGACGATCTTCTCTTGCAGCTTTGCGTGGTTGTTTCCGCGGAATGGGGGTGAGCCGGTGAGAAGGTCGTAGCCCAGTGCGCCGAGGGACCACCAGTCGCATGCTTTGCCGTATGGCTTGCCTTGGATCACTTCCGGCGCCATGTAGTCGATTGTGCCGAGGAGGGAGTTGCACCGGTCGTCGTCGCTGAGCGCGATCTTGCTGAGTCCGAAATCGGTTAGGAGGAGGTGGCCTTGTGCGTCTAGGAGGCAGTTCTCGGGCTTCAGGTCGCGGTAGAGAACGCCGATGTCTTGGTGTAGGTGTGCTAGCGCAAGTACCATCTCTGCCATGTAGAAGGCTGCCGCGTCTTCTTCGAACATGCGTTCCATGGCTAGGTGGTGGAAGAGTTCGCCGCCTTGCGCATACTCCAGGATCAAGTAGAGCTTCTCGTGGTCTTGGAAGGCATAGAATAGCTTGACGACAAAGGGGTGGCGGTTGACACTTTCCAGGATTGTGCGCTCTGTCTTAGTCTGCTCAACTAACTTTTTGTGGACAGTGAGGGAAGCCTTGCGGAATTGTTTCTGAGCGTAGAGCTTGCCCGTGACGACGTGGCGCACCAGCAACACAGTTCCGAATGAGCCCTTGCCCAGACAGAGGAGAGGCACGAAGTCCTCCGCTGTCATCTTGCGGCACAGTTGACTGCGCAACTCTGAATTCATGCCAGGGACGTCCGCGTTGCGATCGTCCAGTGTCTCTGGTTGCACTGCGTCGGAACTAATAAAATCCTGATCCAGAGGGATTTCATAGCTGGTCAAGATCTCAGTCTGGTCGCTGTCGGAGTAAACACTGGCAACACTGGGGGTCTGGGAGATAAGTCCGCTGCCAGTGTTGTCAGAGAGATTCAGAGTGTTGAGTTGAAGCTTCAATGCGCTGACCCCATGGCCTGTGGACGCCTGTACCTGTGGGCTGGCGCCATCAAGCGCAGTGGGAGGTCGAGAGGGTGTACGTGAGCTCGCAGCGGAGAAGTCCGATTCCTCGTCGCCGGATGCCAGAGGGGTGAAACCGCGAACGGTTGCGCATGCCGGCCCGAATTGGTTCTTCTTCTTCTTCCGTCGGTGCTTGTTCTCGTTGAGAGTCTTGCTTGCAAACCCATTGAATCCCTTGGTTGCCTGCTCTGGGGGTGACATAGTATCCATGTGTGCATTAGGGCGACGGTGATTGGCTGGGATGTCAATGACGGTCTGTTCGCTATCGGCCTGCGGAGCGAAGACGTCCCCGACCGACAGGTCGTCGGTATTCGAGGAAGGCATTATGCTTTTGTTGTATCACCTGTGATAGCTCCACGAGTGATGCGAGAAACCCCGATGGATTAGGTGAAAGTGCCGGCGATAACCGCAGGGTCGACAATTGACCTTTGCGCGTTTGTAAAGAATGGTAGCAAGGTATTCAGAATACCTATCTCGCAGTCGCTGTTCACATAGAGACACCCAGTTAGCTTTGAACGCCTCGATCTTGGATTATCAACTGTAAAGAATGTGTAGAGGGGTATGTGAGGGTTTTCACGCCCCCACTAATTATCGCCAAGGTAAAACGTAAAAGAAATTGAAAATAAAATAAAATAAATAAAAATAGCAAATGAAAGGCAGCGTAAAGAGACGTACTTCAACTTGCGGAATTATTGCACCAAAGCACGGTTTTCCTTCAGTGCCCGAACTAGTCGATAGACCAGCCTTGAATCTCGAGCAGGTTTACCGTCCGCCCTTCTTCAGGACGGACCCGGAACCCCTAGCCAAGTCACCTCGCTGGCCGAGAAGTCGAAGGCCAAGGCGAAAGGAGAAAGCACTGAGTGTGTCGACACCTTGGAAATGCCACGAGCAGGCGAGTCGAGGTTGAGAAGGGATGGATAAGGATCAAGGTTGGCTGGGAAGCCAGTGAGCGAAATCAAAGCGGGCGAAGACGAGGGCACAGATGGGTACATAGAGGATGAAGAGTTTGGCAAATATAGATTAACAGTTTTTCTTCCCCAGGAAGTGAAACAAAGCAAGAAACCTGTGAGATCCCACAGAAAATCGGATTTCAGGCGTAGATCCGGGGGCTGAGCCACTAGTCCCGATTCGGATTTCACGTGTCAGATGCTGACATTAACATGATCATCTTATTGATCGGATTTAGATGTTGATATTCCAAGGTTCTCTTGATATTGTCATGATATTGGATGATATTATAGTCTTTTTGTTTTGACTAGCCCTTGATATATTGCCAAGTGGTTCTACAGATCCACCTGAGACAGCCTGACACAGCCTTAATACTACAGCCACCAACTTGCATATGAGTATCGATCTGCATACTGCAGCCTCCTGTATAACATGAAACCACTTACATGGCACTTAGCGGCTCTCGAAGAAAGCCTTTGAACGAGTAATCTCCACACCAGACCGCTGAACAAAAGCGAGAGCACTTGGCTTCTCCACCTTGACTGTCACACGCTCATTGCCGAAGTCCACAGTCACAATGCGAGCAATGAAAGTAGCCAAAGACTCCACAGACTGGAAATCAGTCTGATCAACCTTCTATAATATCAAAACAAGTCAGCAAATATACCCCCAACAACAAAAGCATCGGTGGAAAAAAAAAAGGATAAACACATACCTCAGCCACAGCCCGCGTCACAGCCTGGTAAGTATCAACAACAGTCGATCCCCAAGCAAGCTGCCCAGGGCCCTGGAACGTAAGACCAACAACAACAGCCTGTTTCTCAAGTCTCTCATGAGGATTCACCCCCAAAATAGCATAGCACCTAATCCCCTCAATCCGGAACTCCTCCTCCAAAACCACCAAATCACGCGCCTCCCCACCCGCCACCTCCTTCCCGAGCGCAATAACACCGCGATACCGGAGCCCCTCATCAGCGCGCAACAAAGCCTTAGGCAAATGCAGCAGGACCTCGCACTCCCCATACGCCGCCGAGATAGGGTTCGGCTGCTTCGCCGCAGTGGCAGCAGACGTAGTCTCCAATAGACCCAGTCCGGCATCCGCGACAACGCCCGCTATCACGCGCGGGTCTTGGCCTAGCCCGCGGCTCTGCATTTCCTCGCGTCGCGTCCCCTCAAGACTGATCAGTCGCTGGGATGGGTGGGATGGGGACGAGATGTTCTCGCCCATGTTGCGTACGTCGCTTTCTAGTCGGCGGAAGAGCTTGCCGTAGTCGAGGGTCAGGGAGACGTTGTCGGTTTCGGCGGCTGTGATTATGGAGGAGTAGGAGAGCTTGAGGGTTGCGGTGCATGGTTGGGATTTTCCCTGGCGGTGCCAGGCTTCTGGGGCGCAGGGGAGGGGGAGCTCGATGTCGCGGAGACGGACGCTGTCGAGGACATCGGGGCGGGGTGGGAGTTGGATGGGTTGGGGGTCGCTCATTGTTGTAACTGTGTTGGTGGTTTGAGGAGAGGAGTTAATGCGAAAGTATGAACAATATTAAATCGAAGGGAAGCTGAGGGGTGAGGTTTTTTTTTGGCGGGGCACCCGTGGGCGGTTGTAGATCATGACGGTAGAACCCACACGGGCATTTCCGCATTTTAGTTTATATTTGTTGCACGATTACGGCTAAATAGAGACATCTGGAGGATGATAGTATCCCATAGGATATTGCATATATTTCCTTTGACTATAAGTGCTAGAATTGAAGTTTGGTTGGGAGCATGACCACAATCCCGATATATATTTTGGCTTCAACATAGTGAATGATACAAGTGAACACAAGTCTTGCACTATTGTCACCCAATCAGCTATTCAAAGGTAGGTCGTGTCGGGATATCAGGGAGCGACGGGATCTCGGGGATGTTACAGGAGAAGAAACAAATTAAAGTAAAGAATTAAGATTTCCAGATGCTAACACACACAATAGTCCAGGATGGACAGGAAAAACCATAGGGCGATATCCGTTTAGCCTCCAGCCACCCCGAAGTTACTAGGGAAGAAAGAAATGATTGAGAACTCGCGCTTTCCAGTCGCCAGGAAGATAGAAAAGCACCCGGCCGCGAGAACACGCTGAACGAAACCTCGGCAGGTGAAAAAAGATCATGACACCATGAAATCAGTATGAGACGTTGCGGGTATTTGGCGAAGGAGGTCAACAAAAATGATGGTAGAACGGAATAATATGCAGTAAATCCAATCAACGAAGACCCGACGCCATCTACCAGTAGCGAGGACGGTCGTAAGGCACATACTCGCCTCTCGGCGGAGAGCGAGGACGACCATAACCCCGGGCAGCTAGGTAGGGATCATCATAGTGGCGGGGAGGTGGGGGAGGCCGGGCCTCATAGGGGTCCTCGTAAGGACGACGTGGGGGTGGGTAGTCTTCCATCCGAGGGCGAGGGGGAGTCCGGCGGGCATAGCCATCCCGTTCATAGTAGGGGTCGCGGCGGATAGGAATCGGCGACCGCTCACGGTAGTGCTCCCGAGGACTGTAGCCACGTGGGGGAGGGATCCGGCGGTCGTACTCCTCCATGGTGGCAGGGTAAGGGCGACGTGGTGGGGAACGAGACCGGTATGGGTCACGAACGGGGCGTTCCTCAAAGTTCTGAATCTGGGAGTTGGTGAGAGGGGGTTCCTCCAGGTCCGAGCCAGGTTGGGCGCTTACATCGGCGACACAAGATACGACGGAGCCCTTGAACTCTCGCTGGTCCAGTTTCTCCACGGCGGTTTTCAGGTCGTTGGCGGTTTCAAATTCAACAAACCTTGGTCAAATGTCAATGGATTGGAAGGGTTTCGTGCGGAATACAATGGTTCACCCACCCTTTGCCCTGCTCGCGGCCAGTCTCAGAGTAAACAACGTCCAGTCCAGACTGACGGGCGAAGTCTTTCAAGTCCTATTTAATGCATGGTGAGTCCAGGTCCAGGAAAGGTAAGGTGTCCGGCAAATGTGGTGATAGAAAATGTAAGCACTCCATGTCCAGTCCGAGGAGGTGTATCCAGAATGGCCATCTTATATCGGCATCCAAAAGTCCCAGGAAAGGTTCCATGGGATCTGACAACAGTGAGTATGCAGGGATCAAGGAGCAATTCTCAAATCTCAAGATAAAAGAAAAAGCCATAGAAGCATTTCTCAGTTACCAGGAGAGGAGTGCTAATGGGTTAGTACTCCAGGATCTTTGGCTCAACCGATGGCCTCGAGGACAATGGACTGGAAGCATGTGTGGGCTGAGTAGAGAGACGGGTTTGAGGAATCTACGTCAGGGACTCCGGGAAGGAATGGACTTGGGCTGCTAACCTGCCAACTTGTTTCTGGAAGACCGGAAATCTGCATGCGGAACATAGTGCGACGTGGACGAGGGAGAGCATTGCGGTCTGGCGGTCCCGGGAAGGCCTCCTTGCGGCGAGGACCGCGCGCAAACTGCACGGTGAGTCGCTCGCCTTTGAAGTCACTGCCATCTGTGGTATTGATAAGCGGGAGGTCATTCGGTGGACAAGTCATGGGGGGCATACGGAACGCTGCAGGGAAATAATGTTAGCAAGTCTGCGCGCAAATGAATGGAGTATGGTGAGCTGTTCTTACCGGGCACAATATCTCTGGCATCCAGCTGGTCGTCGTATTCGATGAAGCCGAAACCGTTCATCAACTTGATCTCCGTGATCTTACCGGAGCCATGGCTGCTGAAGTGTTCCTCGATGTCGCTTTTGGTCACTGTGATAAGAAACAGGAAAGAGGTTAGCGTATCACTTCTCAAAGGGTGACCCCAAAAGCACCGGTTAGATAGTCATCCGAGGCGAAGGCTGTTCCATGTGGATAGCTGAAGCTCCTATTTGCTCACCCGGGGAAGGGTGGGCCGAGGGTGGCATTCCACATGAGCATACGAGGGATCAGAGCACACGGGAGACTGGAGACCAGTGAAGCGACCAGATCATGCATGGTGGTGCGTGTGTTCTCCATCTCCAAAGCTCAGGGAAGAGGGACAGGTCAGGTGTCAGCATACCGTTGCGGGGAAGATTCCCAAGATAAAGGCGGGTTGAGGACACTTCAGTCATGGCTGGTCTGGAATAATTGATTGATGGGCGATAATAGAAAGAAATCTGGCAAAAGCGAATTCCAGAGAATATGGAAGAGATCGAAATGGCGGGAATGCAGAGCGAAGTTGTGAACTGCGGTGTTGCTGCAGGAAAGCGTGTAACGTGTAACCCGACAAACGACAAGCGATCAGAGAGCAGATGTACTGCTGCAAAGTAGAGCAGCCAGCCGAACAGCAAACAAATACAAAAGATACAGAAACAGAAGAGCGAGAGGGGGAAGAAAAGAGAGAAAGTACCGTCTGGCGGTGGACGGAGACTAGAAACTTTGGCCGCCTCACTTTTTCTGATCCACGTGGTTCCACCATAGAAAGTACACATGTAGAGAGGGGAAGAGATAATATGAAACATTAAGGGTATTTGTTTACAGTATATATACATAAGAAGATATGTTGAATCAGTATAAATACATAAATAGTTTATAGTTCCTACAAAGGAAGTAAGGCTTATCCCTCGTGGACTCTCTCCACTGTCATTCCACGGTTCTGCCAACCCCATGGGGTCTTTTTTTGGTTCACTTGTTTTGCCTATTTTGGGCATCTATATACATTGGTGAAAACTTTTTCCCTGATATCAAATTATATATCATTCTTTATTAACCCCCCCCTGATTCAAGGCGCCTATACCGAGGTCCATGAGATCATGTCATGATGTACTTGGGCCCCTCTCCACCTTGAGGCGTCTGCCAGTTAATGTCTTGTGTAGGCACCTTGATATCACAAGTCTTGCAGTGAATGCAGCTGGTAAATGGTTAGTATATATCCAAGATCATTCAAATAGAGGTAGACACTTACTTTTGTGAGTTGATCTGGAACCGGACTCCGTCCTTTTTGCTAGGGTCCTCCACATATTCGTAAACGCCTGCAGGACAGAACCGGTTTTCAATACCCTTGTAAACAGGCCACGAGAGGTCCGTGTGTTTATCCAAGTCCTCTACCTGCAGGTGAACCGGTTGGTCTTCTTCGTGGTTGGTGCCGGTCCGGCTCACACTGGTCAAGATATCGAAACTGAGCTCTCCGTCTGGCTTGGGGTAAACGATCTTTTCGTATTCAGAAGCAGGCTTGGTAGCCGCTGCGTCAGTGCCATGGTGGCTGAGAGTCCATGGCACTCGGCCCTTGAACAGGTAGGCCTCCAGACCGGAGTAGAGAAGTCCACCGAAGAAGCCAAGTGGGGTGTTGAATGAGGGCCGGATGTTACGGACCTCGGACAATTCCTTCCAAATGGTTGAATCCCGTAGAGATTTCTCGTAGTCAAACAAGAAGACGGTTCCTTGGTCATCACCCTTAAGCGCCGAGAAGGCAGCCTCGGCGGCTAACATGCCTGATTTCATGGCGGTGTGGGTACCCTTGATTTTCGGGACGTTTAAAAAGCCAGCCGTGTCACCAATCAAGGCACCTCCGGGGAATGCGCACTTGGGGATCGACTGGAAACCACCCTCATTCAGTGCTCGGGCCCCGTAAGAAATGCACTTGCCGCCCTCGAGAACCTCCTTGAACATGGGGTGGTGTTTCATCTTCTGGAATTCTCCGTACGGCGAAAGCCATGGGTTCGGGTAGTCCAATCCTACCACCAGACCGATACTCACCATGTTGTCACCAAAGTGGTACATCCAGGCTCCACCGTAGGTATCCTTAGGAAGAGGGTATCCCATCGAATGGGTAATCTCGCCTGATCGGAACTTCTCGGGCTGAATTTCCCAGACTTCCTTAATTCCAAGACCATATGTCTGGGGCTGGCTGTCTCGTCGAAGATCGTATTTCTTCATCACCTGCTTGGTCAAGCTGCCGTGACAGCCCTCAGCAAGAAGCGTGACGCGGGCATGGAACTCCATTCCTCTCTCGAATGTCTCCTTGGGCTTGCCATCCTGAGCGAGTCCCAGGTCGTTGGTCGCAACGCCCTTGACTGAGCCATCTGCACTATAGACCATCTCGCTGGCTGCGAAACCAGGATAGACCTCCACACCAACCTCTTCCGCACGCTCTCCCAGCCACTTGGTGAGCTCGTTCAGACTGACAATATAGTTCCCCTCGTTGTGCATCTGTGGCGGCGTGGGGAGCGGGTACGAGCCATTCTTCGTCAGGAAACGCATCTTGTCGCCTTTGGCGGGGGTCGCACCCTCAAAGCGCGAGGGGTTGTCCTCGGACAGCCAGTCGGGGAGCAGCTCATTAAGGGCGGTTGGTTGCAAAACGTTTCCGGAGACAATATGGGCGCCCAATTCACCAGCCTTCTCTAGTAGAATAACCCGGAACTCTTCGTTGCCTGCCTCGTTGGCAAGTTGCTTCAAGCGAATCGCGGCGGCGAGACCGGCGGGACCTGCAGTAAACCAAAGCTTAGTTAGGTTGCTTTGGGGAGAAGCAATGCGGCGCAAAGCACGTACCACCACCAACAATGCACACATCCACGTCGTCGGACTCCCGCTCCAATGTGCGAGGATCGAAGCCGCCATTCTCGTCGGTAAAGCGCTTTGACAGCGATTGCGAAAAGGCTCGTGTCTGAGTTGGTGCGGTGAATAATGCCGTTCGCCGAGCTAGACGTCGCCCGGAGGTTGTGAAGGGACTGGCTGAGTGGCGGGCTGGGGTAGCAATGGCGGAGATGGAGGAGGTAGCTCGTGAGAATCGGGAGGATCGAATTTCACGCCTCAATAGAGGCAAAACGGCACCTTTTGATGCCATCGCGATGTGTGAGATTCGGAGATCGGAGGCTGATACCAGGATTACTAGTAGCGACCAGTAATTGGCATAACTAGATCGAAGGGTGAATGCGGAGACTCAGTCTATTTAGGTCGTAGATCCCGAATGTCCCCAGAGTCCTCGAGTACCCGAATTTTGAGTGGAAGTGACAAAACGCCGAAAAACCGCCTACCCTCGGCTCAGCTCTCTCAGCCAATAGGCAACTCGGCGATTATCCAACTTGGAAGCCTGAGGCAGCAATGGATCCCCAAGCGGAAATCGCCGGTCCTGTCACCCGCAGCTGGACTGAACTTGTAGCACCTGGGCATGTTTTCTTGTATAGTATTTCAAAATCTATACTCCGTATGGACTATGGAGTATAATAGTACCTCAATTCTCGTCACATCTAAGCGTTACCTGTTTAATACGATATAGATACTCCGTACTGATCACATGCATCACATGCTTAGCTCACTTGTGATAATGAGAGATGTTCAAATGTTGACATCCGCTCCAGACCTATTGATCTTGCATATCTATGTGCCAGAAAACAACCTTAAATAAGTCGAGTCATACTAATTGCTTCAAGGGCGTCAAAGCCCGATCTGACCAGATCAGACTGCAGTTTCCTGTATCACGTATTATTACTGCATTTCCCGGAATGTGACGATAGCGCCGCTTCGGGTATGGTATTCAGCATACTTATATCATTACCAGCATACCAGCATACTTCTAGAAAATGTAAAAAAACATGCCATGATATGACCTGAGGGTTATGAGGAATAACAAAGTCTCAAGAACCACACTTGGTAAATCTAGGTAGATCCGAAGGTAAATAAATGACCGATCATCGCCAGTTTGCATGCCATGAGATTCATCCAGCCTTGGCGGACGGTGGATCAACGCTGGGCGCCACCGCCTGTTAAGGCAGAATCAAAACGGCCACCTGTCCTAATCAAAATCTCTGGGGAGAGGCACTCGTTTGAAAAGCCAAAAAAAAAAAAGTATAGTCGGATCAATATAAGCTGTGAGCAATATATCTTCCTATCATGAGTTAGTTCACCAACAAAATCCGGTATATTATAGTGATTATAGTGATTCCCCCGTGCGGTGAGGTCAGAGAGGTAGGGAAAGAAACAAGGCAAAAAAATCAGAATTTTTGTTCAGTTGCCATCTGTTAAAGCGGCAAGAGGATAGCGCGTCGTACATGGATTGACCGAGGCTAGTCGATGACGATGATTGGACTGGCATGGGACGGGTGGACTATCAGCTGCAGGAGGAGCGCGGACTGGCAAACCCAGAGCCTGCAACCATGGCGCCGGAGGATAAAGCAAGGGTGTTTGAACCAGTCAGGGGCCAATATAGAGAGATTAGCGGGGTGCGTTGGGCGAATGAAAGTCACTAGCGATGCTGTGGAGCTGTGATTGGCTCGCAAGGTGGTTTCCCAGAGCCGCTAGCGGGCAATGAAGCCAAGGTTGAAGGGAGAAAAGTCTTGCCGCTTTTAGCGCCACCGGCGGCCCAGCCTCCCCTGACCGAGCTGTGACTCAGCACTATATAAAGGCCCAACCTCCCCCCATTTTACGTTGGGAATTTTGTCTCGGTCTTGGCGGATCTTATCTCGGAAATTCACTACTTCCCTCCGCTCCTCTCAAAAAGCCTATTATCAAATCTTGATATCTGCTGGCTTTCTCTTACTAATCAGATCTATCTCACCCAGATCTTTGATTACTCTCTGGAAGACCCTTGATTCTATTTTTTTAGGGGAAAAAAAGGTTTTTTTTGTCCACGGACCTAATTACCTATAGAAGTCGAGCCTCAGGTTTCGCTTCACCACTCTCTCTTTTTTTCAGATCGCGCAGATAGACAATCCCATTTTCCAAGAACAGCGCAAAAAAAGCATTTCGAAAGAAGAAAAAAAAAGTTTGCCGTCCTTCCGTCCATAATATCGCCGTCGCGCCTATCTTGAAAAAACACTTCAGTGTGATTTTTTCTTGATTCGTTCACCAGTCGACTGCGTTGGTTTCGTTGCCTACACTATCTTGTGACTGCCTGTTATTCACGAGAGGTTACGTGCGAACACCTCGTAGGGGGATACATTGAGTTGTCCATCTCCCAGGTAAGAGCCTCCTCCCTTTTCGGTCCTTTGCACCTTCCTTCTCATTGTTCCTTCCCTTGGAGGAAGTTCGTTCCGTTCCAAGGTTGATGGGTTCTCTCCCCTCACATGTTCTTCCCCTTTCCGCTCCTCCGTCGCGCGTCATTCTCTTCTCTCGCGACTTTTCGCGACCCAAGCTCACATCTCTTTTTTATTAGTTCCATCTTTATTTCTTGTCGCCACTCGAGTATTCCATCAAAATGGATTCTCTTACAACCCATCCCTCCAATGCGCAGCAGGCTCGTGCCTTCACTGCTACCTCGTCGCTGTCTTTCCCTGGTGGTGCTGGGGATCTGACCCCTCCCAACTCCGAGAAGGAGGCCATGGCACAGGGCGCACAGGGTGGAAATGGTATTAATGACCAGCAGGCCGGAGGAAATGCCATACATGGCACCGGGGTGACTCCCGCTTCTCCTGCAACCCCCGCCGCGACCCCTGGCGCGACCACCGGAAGCAGTGGCATTGTCCCTACCTTGCAGTGAGTATACTCTGGATGTTTTTCTGGGTGACCAGAATGGCTGAACTAGTTATTCCAAAAGGAACATCGTTGCTACTGTCAACCTTGACTGCCGCCTTGATCTGAAGACCATTGCGCTGCACGCACGCAACGCCGAGTACAACCCAAAGGTATTTATCAACCCTTCCTCACATTGCTCTGATAGGGCGCACATCAGGGTACAATGTGGCTGAACTTGGTTCTCTCCTTAGCGTTTTGCTGCCGTGATCATGCGTATCCGTGAACCTAAGACTACCGCTCTCATCTTTGCCTCTGGCAAGATGGTCGTCACTGGTGCCAAGTCCGAGGATGATTCGAAGCTGGCTTCGCGCAAGTATGCGCGTATTATCCAGAAGCTTGGTTTTAACGCCAAGTTTACCGATTTCAAGATCCAGAATATCGTCGGCTCTTGCGACATCAAGTTCCCCATCCGTCTGGAGGGGTTGGCCTCTCGTCACCACAACTTCAGCTCCTACGAGCCTGAGCTGTTCCCTGGTTTGATCTATCGCATGATGAAGCCCAAGATCGTTCTCTTGATTTTCGTCAGTGGCAAGATTGTCCTGACTGGTGCCAAAGTCCGCGAGGAGATCTACCAGGCTTTCGAGCTGATCTACCCTGTGCTTTCTGGTATGCTGTCTTGCTGGATTCACTTCCATCAAACCTTTACTGACTTATCTTCCCAGATTTCCGCAAGGTCTAAGAAAGCTTCAGAGCAGATCACTTGCTTCTGCATTTCAAACCTGTATTAACATTGCTATTTCCCTTCACGAGCACAGTCGGCTTCGGCCTGTCTGTACCTCGCTTTTCCTTCGGTTCTTACGACTCTTTTCATGCAAGCATAGTTGGGCGTTTTTTTTTTAGCGATTCGGATGATCCCCGGTTTTCCTCATTTCGCGTTCTTCCACACAATTAGATTGCTGCACACCGCAGGGAGGCGGTTGTGCGCCGGTCGATGACTGCCTCGATTTAATCATTTATCGTTCTACGGTTTCATCTGTGGAGGATTGCTTCTATTCCCACGGGCCAAAAAAAAATTAATGGTGACCCAAGGCAGTCTGTTAGATTCAGTTCCGTCCTTGCTTTCCCCATCTTGGGGATGATGGACCGTGATACTACCTTTTGAGTAGTCAATGAAAATCTGAAAAAATTTGCCTATATCCTCGAATAAATCAATGTAGTTCGTAGTTCCAAGCCTTGACCTTTGCTCGCGCTTTATAAATGCCCTTGTACATCCAACCTATCCACTCTTCATGTTATATAGTTGCATCACAAACCACCCAAGTCTACATTCTAAAGCACACTGCTCCGCGAAGCCTTCTTGGTCTTCGCCAGCTCGTCTTTCAAAATCGCTCTCCTCTCCCCAGACCGACTACCATCGCCATCAAAGTCCTCCTCATCCGACACAGCAACCTCGGGCCACGTCCACATCTTACTCAACTCGGAATCAAGTGTGCCCTCCAGCGCATCGACAATCTTGTCTCCAATAACAGGGAAGAACTTGAACCCATGGCCACTACCACCGGTAGCAAGGAAAAGACCTTCATGGTCAGGGTGATAAGAAACAATGAAGTCACCCGTGGGCCTGTTAAACAAAATTAGCACCACCAACCACAACCACCTAACTCGCAGCTGGCAACCAAAGGACTAAACTCACGTATCAGTATACCAACAAACCCTCGTATCAACAAACTCCCTCTCCGCAAACCGCGGCAAAAGCTGCCTCAACGCAACCCGGAACGCATCCTGTCCTTCAAGCGGCACAGGAACCCCCTGCTCAGGCAGACTAACCACCATCGAGCCCGAAGCCCCAGCACCAGGAACCGACACCTCAACCGGATTGCGATACCCATACGCATGCCGCGCGATCTTAAGCAGATTATCCCGGGGCGGTATAATAAAGATCCCCGTCGCGAAGTTCAAAATCGTAGGCAAGCTCTCCAGCTCGCGCTGCTCCTCATCAGAGATCCGCATATAAGCAATCGCCTGTCCGGTTGCAACAGCCCGACCACGCAAGTCCACCAGTTTCGACGTCCACGCGCCAGTCGCCAGCACCACCAGATCTGCCTCGAGGGTCGAGCCATCCGTCAAGACGACACCGGTAGCTTTAGGCTTCGCGCCGTCCGTGCTGTATAGCACACGTTCGACATCGCCGGTGCGGAAGATAACCTTTCCCTCAGCATCGAGGAGGGTCTTAGCATAGCGCACGCTAGCCGCGGCATCAGACCACCCAGACCCCCAGTTCACGTAGCCGCCGGCGACATCGAGGGTCGAGCCGTAGGCCGGGACGACGCTGAGGACGTCCGCTTGGGTAGGGAGGAAGGTGACGTTGTCGCCCTCGATCTGGCGCACGTTGGCATAGCTCTTGCGTGCATACTCTTTGGCGCTGGCGCTGTCTGCTGGGTACACGAGTAGCAGGCCATTTTGCGTGTAGCGGCCGTCGCGGCCCCAGTCTGTGCTGCGCCAGCGGTCGATGGCTGCTGCGGCGAGCTTGGAGTATGCTGTGTTGGCATAGTCGGCCCGCACGATCCGGGATGTGTCGACGGATGAGCCGTGGGGGTTTGGGATTGTTGGTGAGGACTCTACTACTGTTATTTTGGATTCTGGGTGTCTCTTTGACAAGGAGAGGGCGGTGGATACTGGGTTATGTTAGTAGGAGTGTGGAAATTGGTATAAAATATGTAGTGTGACAGTGTAGACCACAGTGTAGACCAGTGCTAGGGCTTCCAAGATTGTTCTTAACAACTCACATCCAAACACACCCCCTCCGACAATTAGAATCTTGGACGGCAATGCCATTTGCAAAAATATGTGTGTGGGTGAACCTTAGAATTGGAGATCCGGGGGATTTCTCCAATTGATAACACTCGAGCCGATAACGGCATTGCTCGTCGGCTTCTGCTCCCGACTTTTCTTCTTCGCTGGGTCGATATCGTTACTCCGATCTATACGGAATAAGATGTGCAATTGATCTCGGGACTTCATTTTGATCAATTCGGTTTTCCTTTCTTGGAGCCTCCATCTCCTTTGGGTATCGCGGGGCCCGAGAACCCTGTCGCGTAAGCACTCAATCTTTGCTCGCGTCAAGCCATATATGCGCAACAATCCCTGCACAAAACCCCTTGGCAGTCCATTCTGCTAGTTCAAATCATCATAATGAACGTAAATCAATTGCGCAGAGTGCCATTAGCTGCAAAATGGCCCGTCACACCCTGCCGCAGCGCATCAAGCAAAGCACCTCGACCCCCAAAGCCGAGGTATGTAACCAAAACTCTTCAATCCCAAATCCAAACTAACATTCTCCCAGTCCTAAAAGCCCCAAGCCAGTGGCCATAAAACGGCGACAAGTAACACCGCCTCGCCAACACTACCAAGAGCGCCCAACCACTCAAGCCGAAACCGCCAATGCTGAAACCACAGCGAAACAAGGCCATGGCATCCCACCCAGAGCCCTAACCTTCCTGGGAATCACAGCATTTACCATCAGCACGTACTGCGGCTATCTATACACGTCGTACACGCGCGAAGTAAGCAAAGCACAAACGCTCAACGTGCCACGCGACGTGTCAGACCGCTATAACACGACAGCCGCAACCTTCGACGCGGACGTCGCGCTCTCCGAAAAGGCAATGGGCCTCGGCAAGAAGCGACGGGATCTAGTCCGCCAGGCGCGCGGACACGTTCTCGAAGTCAGCTGCGGCACGGGACGCAATCTGCCGTTCTACGAGCTCGGCGAGCGTCGCGGGTTAGATGCTGATGGCCACGCTGCGGTTTTGGGTTGTCGATCGGTTGCGTTTGTCGATCTTAGTCCGCAGATGGTGGCTATCACGAAGGAGAAGTTCGAGAAATTGTATCCTACGTTCCCGGCGGTGTTCCGGGCTTGTGATGCGGGTAAGGTTGAGCCGTCTGGTATCGGGCGTTCTGGGGTGAAGACGAAGGAGGAGCCGGTTTATTTTGATACTATTGTGCAGACTATGGGTCTTTGCTCGATGCCGGATCCGGTTGCTACGCTGCGACATCTGGGATCTGTTACGGAGCCCGTGAGTGGGCGGATCTTGTTGCTTGAGCATGGGCGTTCTTATTATGATTGGGTTAATCGCATTTTGGATAATCTTGCTCCGGCTCATGCGGATCGGCATGGTTGTTGGTGGAACCGTGATATTGGGGAGATTGTGCGTGAGAGTGGTTTGGAGATTGTGGAGGAGAAGCGTTGGCATCTGGGGACTACGTGGCGTTATGTGTTGAGACCCAAGCAGAGTGCTGAGAAGTCTCAGTCTTGATCGTCGGTGTGGCTTTGGCTGGAACCTCTTTTGGGTGTAACATAATTTAGAGATATGTATGATTATTTGGCGTGATATAAATGGGATTGAGGGATAGACTATACTTTGTTCAACTATACAACAAAACATGATAAATCCAAGTGATTAGCATGATTCCATCTCAGGAACTGGTCTGTACGTCCATATTTATACCTCCGTCATGTCTTTTTTAGTAACGGTATCTGAAGCCCGGTGTCTTCCAGTCCGTGACATCCTCATAGTCATCCGATACCAATTGCACTCGGTTCACCATATCCGCCACATTCGTCGAATCGCGATCAGCATCCACTCCCTTCCCACCAACAGCACCCGCGTTTCCAGCACTACCCTCAAAGCCCTCTAGACGCGTACGGCGAGCATTAGTCCACTGCAGGTAGAAGCGCAGAACCAACGCCAAAACGACAGCCAGGGCATAGCAAATCATGATCGTGCGGAAAGCAGTGTTATAAGTCGGCGCCTCCTCACTGAGGAAGAACTGAGGCCCAGAAATGTTCCCAGCGCAATAAGCCAGGAAGAGCATTGCAGTGACAGTCATTTTCTTAGTAACACCACGGTAATTGGCCTGCACCAGCGACATAGCAAGTGGCATTGCCGCGGGTCCAGTCGACAAGAGGAAATATCCAAAAAATTGCACCCCCAAGACGATATGCGCGCGGGAGTAGATAATTGCACTGCCGATGACGCAAGGGAGCACAACGGCCACTATAAGCAAGCAGTTCAGTTGGCGGAAACGACCGGCCAGCCAGCCCGTTCCGGTGATTGTGGCTACGGTGATGAGCGAGTAAGGGATGGTGAGTAGCGTCGATTGCAGGTTCGTGAACCCAAATGAGACAATCACTAAATTGGCGAAATTCTGCGTCCCTCCGTTGGGGATCTGCGTGCAAAGCTCCAGCCCGAATATAAGCCACGTCTTGGGATCCATCAGGCATTCAACGACCTGGTCCCATCTCCAAGCGGTCTCCTCTGTTGCGCCTGTGCCTGCAACGACAACTCTGTTGCTTGCGAACTGACGTTCCTCTTCTGAGAGGAACTTGGCCTTGGAGATTGAGTCTGGCAGTAGAGTCCAGATAGCGAATCCCCAGAGGAATGTCGCGCAGCCCAGGACAATGAACATCCACCTCCACGGCCCAACGTGATCTTTGACGTGACCCAGGCCGTAGGCGAGGAGACTGGAAATAATACCACCAACACTCTGTGTAAAGATGAGCTTTTATCCAAAATGTTGTCAGGAAATAACATACATTTCCAGCAAACCACAGGCCTGTTCTGGTAGGAATCTCGTCACGCGTGTACCACGTCGACGTGATAAACATAAATGCCGGCGTGATCGTCGCTTCAGCAACTCCAAGCAAGAAGCGGACTGTTATGAGACCGCCAAAGTTGGTGCAGGCTGCAGTGAGAGCCACTACAGCACCCCAGAATAGTGTGTTGGCCGTCAAGTATTTGGCGGCGGGCAGACGAGCAATAAGCAAAGTTGTTGGATATACCCATCCCAGGTAGCCAAAGTAGAAGATCGATGAGACCCAGCTATACTGCTGGCCAACCAGACCCTAGAAACGATTTTAGTTATGGTTCTTGATTCTCTCGACATGTTCATGTTCTTACAGTATCGTGCCTCATTCCGAAGACAGACGCGCTCGACAATATGGTTTTATCCATAAAATTAAACATGTAAGTTGTGAAAAGCAGTGGGATCAGTCTTCTGTCAATCTTCCTCAGTACCCTTTTCGCCATAGCGTGGTCCGTCCCCTGTTCTCCCGCATCGGGAGTAGTTGTGTCTATGGCCATTTTTAGTAAAAAAAGAAAGAAAATGCCGAGAATCTCATTCAAGATCAAGACAATTTGAACTCTTCTTATTAACAAGGTCATATGCCCCCTGTTATCTTTCCCCGCACCCCCCATTGGCCCAACCCCTGCCCGTTATCGCCGATGCGGAATCCTTCGAGCGCCAATTGGACGAGGATGAAGCCAAGTCCTTTAGGGCTGGAGCTAGTGATACTGTCGTAGTGAGTTTGGAGTAGTTTCTCGGAGCTTTTCTTCTACTCCGTACCCCAACTCTGAATCTTCATATTTTAAGCAAGTTCTACCTACAGACTGAGACTAAACTTGTATTATATCTGGAACAAAGTGGTGAAAACTCGCCTGGGCAGTAATCATGAACGGCCTCGCAATCAGCCCATTCATAGCCAATCTCCCCAAAGTCGAACTCCACGTTCACATTGAAGGCACCCTAACACCCTCTCTCCGCTGGGAGCTGGCCCACCGCAACAACGTCCCCCTCCCCTACGCCACCTTCGCGGAACTGCAAGCCTCCTACGCAGTAACCCTCAATCACCGACCCGAGCTAAATGGCCGCCAACCAGGAATCCCAACCTTCCTGGAGGCCTATTTCGCCGGGTGCGAAGTTCTCCGCACAGAAACCGACTTCTACGATCTAGCCATAGCCTACCTGCGCCGGTGCGCAGCAATGAATGTGCGCTACACCGAACCCTTCTTCGACATCCAGGCGCACACACGTCGCGGCGTCCCCGCGGCAGCCGTTATGGACGGCTATCTGCGCGCGCAACACGATGCCGCCGCACAGTTGGGTGTGCATTCGCGGTGGATTCTGTGCTTCCTGCGCGACGAGCCTGTGGAGCAGGGTCTGGATGCTTACCGTGAGGCGAGGCCGTGGGCTGCTGGGACCGTTGCTGGCGGGAAGGGGCTGTTTCATGCTGTTGGGCTGGCGAGTAATGCGTATGAGAGGCCGCCGATGCTTTTTGAGGAGGGGTTTGCGTTGGCGCGCGCGGATGGCTTGCATGTGACTATGCACTGTGATTTTGGGCAGAAGGATACGCGGGAGCATGTGGCTGAGGCTATTTTTGAGGTTTGTGGGGGCAGGGGAGCAGAGAGGATCGATCATGGGTTGGATGCGGAGGACTGTGAGGAGTTGTGGCAGGGGTTGGTGGATAGGCGGATTGGGTTGACTTTGTGTCCCCATGCTTATCATCGGAGGACGGCGACTGAAGTTCTGTTTCCGAAGATTCGAAGGTTGGTGGAGAGGGGAGTGAAGATTTGTATTAATAGTGATGATCCGACTTTGATGCATGATGTTTGGATTGATGGGAATTTGCAGAAGGTTTATACTTACTGTGGGTTTAGTCGGAGGGAGATGGTGCAGCTTGCGAGGAATGCGGTCGATATGTGTTGGGCTGAGGAAGATATCAAAAGGGCTATCTATCAGGAACTGGATGGTGTTGATATTTGTGAATAAAGGCTTGTCTATGGGGTTATTAGACAGCTCTTCTCTCCGAATATTAAAAACAGTCTGCTGTTTCAAAATAAAGCATGTATATTTTACGTTGAACGTTCAATCAATCAATCAAAGTTCAATTAACCTGTTGCAGTCTAACTAGTTGCGTATGACTATGCAGGCGCTTCATCCAACTGAAGCAAGAACTCGAAGCCAAACGCCGAGTTGGGGCCACATGGTGATCCCAAAGAGTATACAGATGCTGGTCGTAAAGAGTGTGGAATCAGCCCATTCCTGTAACCCGTAATCCCACAAACCCATACATAAGAAATATATAACGATCGCCATGGAGTGCACCCTGCATCCTCCATCTCTCACTTCTCACTCTCACTCTCACTCTTCCCTTCCATCCTCTGTAACCTCCCCTGCCTCAGTTCCAGTTGATGGTGTTGTTCTCCTGGCCAGTTGTTGATTGGCATGTTCGTCGACTCTGGCTGAGTTTCTCGTTTCACAGCATCATTTATCGTCATTGGCTAATACCCATCGTCTTCCACACCTAGGTCCATGGCCGCAAGGCCTGTCGGTTCGTCGTCGTCGTCGTCCTCGAGCGCCACATGTTGGAACTGTTGGAGGAGACCTGTTCGGTGCATGAAGTTGACCACGTAGCGGGTGGGTACGTTGAACGTTGTACGGTTGATAATAGGTTATAATATTTATAACATGCTAAAATTAGACATTTGATGACTGCTATCATGCCCCCAATACATACATATGTAGCCATGATTATGGGAATATAACTTGGAGGGATTTTTATCTGCTAGGGAGACCAAATGAATTTCTTCTTCTCGGTATGGCTTGACCCTTTGAGATATTATTTTGGACTTACAAGCATGTAAAACCAAGTTTTCCCTCACCAATATCTGTATGAAGCAACTCTTATGATATACCCTGGCAAATACCGGGAGGACATGTCTATAGAGACTTTCACGATGATTGGATCGACTCAATATTCCGCTTGTCCTCTAAACGAGATCCTAATTCGGAGTAATGCTCTAGATCTAGACATTTTTATAGAAAACCGAGCACGCCCCTCTAGGACTGTGTGTGTGTGTGTGTGTGTGTGTGTGTGGCACTGCCGCCTTATCCCTCTTCCACCTAACTAACTCAGTTTCTCTATGAAAGCACTGCAGTAGCAGTCTTTCATCCTCCTTGACAAGAAATCACCATGCGAACCCGCCCAGCTACTGGTTTGGCGGATTGGTCCACGGGAAACTCCGAGGACACTAGGGATTTTCCACCAGTGAGCATCCACCATCACGTCCTCTATGTATATAGTGGATCATATCTTCAAGGTGGACCCTGACGCCTTCCCTTGACAACTGCTAATAGACAAAGACGACGAACATAAGAACTACATATGTATCTTTCGACCTCGACAAAAACCTTTACGCAGACACACAATGGGGTCATCAAATGAGAAAAAGGCTGCAATTTCCCTCCGAGGAGCGGAAAACGTCATTCGGAATGAGTATTGGAGAGATATTCGCAAGATCTTGGCAGCGCCTTATGATGAAATCCAGAATCCAAACGGAGTGTGAGAAAGCAAAGTCAACGAGAAGAACTGTCCAAAGCTGACTAGCATGACAGAATCAACTTAGGTCTCGCGGAGAATTATCTTATGCACGCGGAAATTGCTGATCGATTGAAGGCTGGGGTGAGTGTTTGATCCCTAGAGAATCAAAACAAACGTACTCCTTGAACTTCAGTTTAGCGTTGACCATGCCGCGCACTTGACTTACGGACAAGGACCAGTGGGCTCACCACGACTGCTGAAAGCACTGGCTAGCTTTTTCAACTCTTATTTTCACCCAATCACACCTGTTACGCAGAAAGAATTGCTAGTAACCTGTGGAGTTGCGGCGTTGATTGATACCTTGACCTGGTGCATCTGCGATGACCTGGAAGGGATTCTCATCCCACAGCCATTTTATGTTGGATTCAAGATCGATATCGAGATGCGAAGCCGTGGGCAACTACTACCTGTCTCTTTCCTCGAATCGGATCGTGAGTATTCGGTCGACCATACATTCGAGCCGGAACCGAACCGAAGGGCCTTTGAGCGTGCTTTCAAAGAAAACATGGAGAAAGGCATCGGAGTTCGCGCAGTGATAGTTTCAAAGTAAGCCAGGAACCACAACACATGCTACTATCAGCACAACTGACACACATCACTCAGCCCTCATAATCCGTTGGGGAAATGTTACGTATGTTCTATCGTGTTGCCCCTACTCTTCAAGTCAAAAGTCTATAAAGGCGACGTTAAACCTTTGCTTTCAAATAGTCACCGGAAACCATCTGGGAAATCGCTCGCTTCTGTGGAAAACACGACTTGCATCTCATCTGTGATGAGATATATGCGAATTCGGTCTTCGTTAACCCTGATGACCCCTGCATCCAGGGGTTTACATCCGCTTTGAGCATCAACTTTGACGACATAATCCACAAATCCAGAGTTCACATCATGTACGGCATGAGCAAAGACTTTTGTGCGAATGGTGTCCGTCTTGGTGTGCTCCAAACACGGAATGAAGATTTACTGGAAGCAGTTGCAAGCATCAAGTAAGCCGGTATCTCCTATGGGGTCGGGTCTTAAGATGTGCTAACCACTTTTGCCAATCATCTAGTTTGTTTGCATGGCCTGCGTATCTCACGCAAGACCTTTGGGCTCAAATACTAGAAGATCGAAAGTTTCTTGACTGGTTCAAGAAGACAAATAACGAGCGAATGGCAGCCAGCTACGAGACCTTCACCTCCTTCCTCCAAGAGCATCGCATCCCTTATATGAAGGGCAGGTATGTTGAAAAGAGAAACTGTTCTTCCCGTTACTTTCCTCGGGTGGCCGATTGTTCTTATAACATGTGCTGCTTATCCCCCTCTACATTTTTTCCCTCGTGACTATATATCTCACGTACTAATCTTTTTCTCACAGCAATGCGGCATTTTACCTTTGGATCCGCCTTATTCCATCTCGCCTTATCGACTTCAAGGATCCATTAGTCTCCTCTCCCACCGTATCAAGTGTCAAAAAGCTCTTCGTTGAAACCTGCAAGCACAATGGTGTCTCAATCAAAGATGGGGCGAATTATTTTGCAGAGGAGCCAGAGGATGGGTGGTTCAGGGTCACGTTCACCGTTCCAGATGCGGTTTTGCAGGTGGCTATGCAAAGGATAGTGAAGAGTTTCGAGGATTTGGGGTGGTTGGAGTTGTTCTGAACTTAGCCCTTGAGGTGATTATATATACTTACAAATTACCACATGTTTTTATAGGCGAGACAAGTGTGATTCATAGAGGCGGCTAGACGATATATCCAGCGATAATCAGAACCTCGGAAATAACAGTTTATATTCAACACAACACCCTAGTATGAAACCTGCTGTGTGCTCACTAAGTGCAGTCTGTAGGTACCTAGTTACTGAGTGAGCACGACTTGAGCGCTTACCGAGCATACACTAAGCGTTCACTAGTTACCTACCAATCTAAGTACGTAGTAACCACCCTGTGATATGAAATACTCGGTTACATGACTCTGAGCACCTTCATAGAGCCGCAGCACCCCGATCAGGAAAATCGCGACGGCCTGGAATCCGGTAGAGCGACATACAGCATATGTACTAGTAGGCCCTCGGCACTTTTTTCCACGGTTGGTATTGGCTGATGATAATATCGATCCCGTCCCGCATTAAAAACGGGTTATGCTACCAATCTCCATCATTGATTTATATGCAAGGTGCAGATCTTTGGCAAGGGTTATTCCGTGTCTTGGATGCATCTGTTCTTTGTTCCATGCAATGGTCCCCGGGGATTGGTCCTGATGTGGCGGGGAAGTTGGAACCAAGGATAATGATTTCAGGTAAGGTTTGGATATTGATGCGTCGGTTATCGGGGCGTACTTTCATTGGTAGATCTAGACTTGGATGTGTTCCGTTTAGATTGGAGATACTTATCCGGTATCAACGATACTACACATAGCAATCAAGTTATCCATAGTTATAATATACATACATTGTAGGATAACCCCTCAGTACAATATATTTACTTTGTGGACATACTTCATTGTAATGTAAATATAAAGAGTACGCTAGATGACGGAAGTGGACATTATATAATGTAGTACCCTGCGGTTGTGGAGGTGCGGAGAATTCTCATGCACCTGCATACTGTATAATGTAGGTACAGTCTGTACAATATTCTCATCGAAATAAAATAATTCAGCGTTGGATGCGATTAGATAAACTCGAGCTAAAGCAATTGTTCCCTTCGGCCGGTGTAATGGGCTGGCTATTTCCATGGTTGACGGTCCCGATCCCCTGGGCCTGAGAGTGGTCGATGTCATAAAAACGGAGATCAGCAAAAAATAAATGCGACACTATTCTTGCAATATACAGATCGCAGGGGTTAATTCAAGGAATGATGTTTCCCTCAATACGAAGTACCGAGACCTACATCACACCTGGGCAGTAATGCTCGTACCCAGTACTATGCAAACCCCTTGCTGGATGCTCAGTATCCCTAAGGAGGAGATTGGGCTATGATGTACAATATACGGAGTACTTTTGTACAGAGTTCGAGTAAACAATGATATCCTGCCGTCCAACTGATCATCATAATACCACTGAAAGTCAAGAGTGTGGATAAGCGATCCGGATGGTGAGGAGAAGGATGTCATCATATGCACGTAGGAACATACGAATATACTAACTACATTGAAGTGTTATATTATCGTTTCCCCGATGTCATCACCACTTTTGAGGAACATTTGCGGCAAGTTTGGCTTTTGGCGTTTGGATATTTAAAATGTTATAAAAAAAACGATAGATCTAAAGTTATATGGTACATTAAAGCTGAAAGTGAGATTGGATATAGAAGAAAAACAAGTGTCTCAGCTTGCTGCATCATCGGTGGCAAACGTTCCTTTTCTCCCCGAAACGCTAATGTGAGCATCCCTTACTAGCGTCATGTACAATACCATACACCGACTCTGATTGATCGTTGTCCCGTCGATTGGGTCCCTGGGATCCACAAAAGAGTGGGACTCGGTGGACTTTAAGTGGTCGCGTATCTTTTTTTTCTTTTCTGTTTGTAAACGGTTGCGCTAGGGAGCTGTTTTGGGTCTCGGTGTTTCCGACCGGAGGGCTCGGCTTAAGCCCTGTCTTTTTTTTTGGTCAAAATTATTGGGGGTTCATGATGCTTATTGGACTGGATTATCGTGTCTATGCTAGTTAGTATACTTGCATATTTAGTTAGTCGTCTCCGTATAAGTTAATATATTTCGATCTATCAACGGCGGTGTGTGCCTCGGTCCCCTAGCAACCAACAGGTGACAGATCGAATATATAATCTACCAATATACATATCCCATGCAGTAGGAAGGCTCCGAGTTCGACAACCCATTATCCGACATCCACCGTGCGCGTACCAATCAATGGATCAGTAGGTCTTATTATTATTCAAAGAATCAGGTTGTGATTAGCGGAATCCGATGTATGCGGGATGGAGTAACCACTGGAGTTGTTGGGTAAATGGAGACGCCAAGGTTGATAGAGCACCAAAATTGGACCTAGTCGGGTCATAGAACACATGGCCAACCCCACCCAGCCCTTCTGGTATGCACTAAGCCCGAAGATAGAATGGAAGAACTATGGATTATCATACTAAGGCCTGAAAAGGAATGGGTTGATCTCCACCGCCTGGGAATTGTTCGCTTTTTGCCTGTGCGTGTCGCATGTCGCATGTTGTATTCCGGTGGCTTTAACATGGCGGTGAGAAGGAGCCTATAGTATATTTAAGCTAATGTGAGATTATCTACATAGTGCAAAGTACAGAGTACTCAGGTAGTTTCTATAAGAAAGTACAGATAGGCATTCTCTTGTACATTCTTAAAGAGTAATAAGAAAAGGGAAAATAAAAACAAGCCCCAGTTCAACCAATCATCGTCACACTAATTCGGGAGGCTGCCAAATTTAAAGGCACAAATACCATACGGTAAATTACCAACCCCAATTTTAATTTTTCTTTTTCAATTTTTCCACTTTTTTTGCGAAGATTCCTCAGGCCCCCGTTTGGTAATTTGCCATCCAAACAGCTCTGCCTGTCGCATCTTGATGATCCCCCCCCCCGTTTATCCTTCTCATCCCCCTTTCTACTAACATCCCCCATATCTTAGAATCTTTTTTATTGTTCATCTTATTATTCTGTTTATTATTATATCCTTTTTCTTCTTTTCTATTATATCCTCGTCTTTGTGTCTTACTCTCCTTTGATTCTTGAATTCTTGTCTTCTCTCCTGTCACTTTCCTCACAATGCCGTACAACACTCGTCGCAAGTCACTATCCCTTCCATCCTTGGGCATTCAGCTCCCAAATTCCACTCGTCGTTCTCCCTCTATCTCAAAAGTGCATACCGATGAGCAACCCACAAAAAAAGTCAAGAGATCGCATGGTTCGACTTCATTATCACCCGAGCCATCCGACCCAAAAATTATTGCGCGTGCTGGCCGACATGGACTCCTTGAGATTACACCGCCACCCTCGCCTATGGATGGAGTGCTTGCGCCCAAGATCGACACAGAAGGAATTAACGACGACATCGTTATTGCTGTAATAAACCAACTAGAGAAAACGGGGAATCGCCCTCATCTGGTAAAGGAACTGGCTGCAGTCCTGGTCACACTAAATGTCAATGTTGCAAAGTACGTATCTCACTCGGGATCTCTTTGAAACACAGTCACTAACATGTCCTGTCTTAGTTCCGCCAATCCCGCTGCGCTGCTCTCATCGCGGTTAGCTGCCTATATGAAGCGTCCTTGGACGGCTCTCGCGCCTTGTCCAATGGCCAAGGAGCTTATCTTAATTCATCCGCGCAAAGTGTACTACTATCTTACTACGTTTCCCCACCAACCCATTCCTGAGACCGACGATCTGGTATCTGCCGTGGGTAGCAAACACATCACGCCCAGTGTTTCCAGTCTCGAGGATGAGGAAGACGCGATGGTGCGGGAACGTAGCCCCAGTCCCGAAGTGGACCTGTCCTCTCCCGACTTCGAGGAGCATGGTGATTTGAATACCTCCGCTAGCCATGGCGGCTCTTCTGATCACTTCCCCAACGCTAGTAATTTGACGCGTCTCATGAACTCGCATCGTGCGGCTTCTCCGCCCCTGGAGGGTGACGAGAAGGAATTCACACAAACTGCGAGCGCTGTGCGTGAGCGTGCTTCCGAGGAAAAAGCCGAGTCGACCCGTAGCCAGTCCATCCTTTCCGAGAGCCTGAGCGCCTTGGAGGACCGCGATATGAGCATCTCTGAATCGCCTATGAATCGTGGTTCAATGTCTCCGTCTATGCACGGTGACGGCATGTCCGAAGAAGAGTATAGTGACTACTTCTCGCACATGCCCGTCGACCAAATGGCCCAGGATCTGGACGAGGCTGCCGCGACTGCCCTGTTTGGCACCTCTCCCTCCCCCTCCCTCACCTCCATCGCATCATCTGTCTCGTCTGGCACGAGCGCTTTGACAGATCTCGGTGTGGACGGTGAGGAGCTTGCCGGCGCTCTCGTTGCCCCCCAGATCAGCCTCCCTGAAGATCCCGATGCCGCACCTGTTTCGACCCTCAAGCGCTCGCTTGACATGTTGAACAGCGGCCTTCCGGACGTCGATCTGAAGATGTCGGACCTGACAGAGTCGCACGAGAGGCTTACCCTTACCCCTCGGGCTATTTCCATGAACTCGGAGCCCGTCTTCGAATCCTGGAGAGAGTTGCAAAACCCAGAGATGGTGGAAGTCGATGAGCTCGACGAGATGTTTGGCGAATTCTAAACTATCCTCGACCACGGAGTCCATTTATCTCGGTTTATGTTCCTTCTCGTTCTCCTCCTTCTCTCCACTCTTGGCTGGGCTGTGACCCGCCATGTTCTCTTTACCTCTATTCACCTCGATTGTACATGTTCTTTGTCTTCCCGGCGCAACCTCTTACCCTTTTTTTTCTCGCTAATGCCTATTTTCTCTTGTATATATACATATGTTTTGGTTTACTTACCCTGGATGGGTAGATTGGGAGGATATTCACGGCTGGAGGAATGGCTTTACCCAAAAGTGTCAAAATAACTAGCGTTTCTTCCCATAAATTCATCTTTTTCACCTTGCATCTTTCATCTTTCATCATATACTAAAAAAAGAGAAAACGGTTCCTGACTAATCAGTGCCCAATGAGGAAAGCGGGCAGCTTATCATCCATGGGCCGTCCATCCGTGGGCCGATTACACATATTCCGCCACTTCGCGACTTCAAAGGTCTCTACAGTATTTTCACGTCCGAGGCTCAAATTTGTACTGCTATGAATGGGCCTCAAATCTCCCTTGTATATACATCTCATTTCTCGGCCTCACATATGCAAATTCAGCCCTATCATTCGTCGCAACTTTATACCACATAGGGCCGCAGGAACGCAGTTTCGAGATTGAGACCCAAACACTCCCTCGTTAACGTACACAGGGCTTCTGCGACAATGACGGTCGAACAAGCCCATCCGCAGACGAACTATGACAGTGTCGTTCCTCAAAGCGAAGCGCCCGCCCTACAACCAACACCAGACCTCGCCCCCGCCAGATCCCGCCCTCTTTCTGTCGCAGACACAGTGTCAACGATAGGCGCCAAGAGCGCCAATACAGCCCCGATTCGGTCGAGCAAGACACTTGCTGCACAAACTAAAGTTGCCATTCCTCGTCAACGGGTTGCACCTGCCCCGCGCTATAATCGACGAGTGCCTCGCGCTTGCGCATCCTGCAGGCAGCGCAAGACGAAGTGCAGTGGTGACACCCCAGTTTGCCGCCAGTGTCGCGAGCTGAGGGCTACGTGCAACTACCCCGAGGGTTGGAGGGAGAGAACAAAAAAGTATGTGTGTTCGTGGCTATAAAAGCATATATTTGGAACAAAAAAATTCAATTGCGAGCAAGCATGCTGACCGGCTGTTCGCGCCTTACAGACAAGTTGAAAATCTCTCGGAGAAAGCGCAAGAATATGAGAATCTGCTAAAGGAGTTGGGTGGTATGGTTGAGCTCAGTGCCGCGGAGCGGATCAGGAGCTTGCTGGACAAGGTTCGTTCTTCTTTTCGGGATACCGGAGTGTCTCTAACACTCGCGACCACAGCATGGTCCGGAAGTGGATTATTCGTCGCATAATTCCCGATCTCAATCAGCGACCCCTCAGGATGACATTCCAGAAAACGATGAGCCATCCTCGCCTTCGTCTATTGGATCTCTTGAGGCGATTGACCGAGTAGAAGAGGACATCAATCGATCAGAACATACCAGAGCAACTGGTTATATGGGGAAAAACTCAGAAATTACCTGGATGCAACGGCTACAGAGAGAGGCAGAACAACGTGCCAAAGGTCTTCCGGGGAGTCTGGAGCCTGGCCAGGATCTAAAGACTGATGATGCAGTAGCTCTGCATGCAGTCAATTATCATCTTGATGACTTGGATATTTCCGTCCCCGGACCGGTACAGCTGTATGCCATGCCTCCTCGAGAGGTGGCGGATCATATGTTCGAGGCTTATTTGACTACCGTGCATCCGTTCTACCCCATCATTAACAAACCTCTTTTCTCGGCACAGTACCGGACATTCTTTGACAGCGCTGCTCGACCCGGTGACAAGTGGCTTGCTATATTGAACATGATATTCGCAATTGGGGCTAAACACGGCCATCTCGTCGAGGCACCATGGAGTGGGGACGAGAAGGACCACTTGGTATATCTGACCAGAGCTAGGATCCTTAGTATGAACGGTGATGTCCTGTTCAGCCATCCCGATCTCCAGCAAGTCCAGGTGGAGGCCTTGATTGCCTTCTACCTTCTCGCTTCTGGTCAAATTAACCGGTGAGTTTAAGAAAATTCTTGTGTCATCTGAAGTGAGCGGACCATAACACTTAAAATAGGGCGTGGCGAATCTCGGCTTTGGCAGTGCGGTCTGCAATCACACTTGGAATCAACATGAAAAGCAGCAGTCCAACCACACCCGATCTTTCGAAAGAAGCCCGTTACCGAGTCTGGTGGTGTCTTTATACATTTGAGCACATGCTCGGAGTAATGACTGGTCGGGCAACTTGTATCCAGGACGGAGTGTGCACCTCGCCTTTCCCGATTCCATTCCAAGAAGAACAACTACAAGATCCAGATGCCCTCGAAGTACTCACAGACACAGCACTACGAGACGAACGAATCAACAACGTCATGGCAAGTGCATCTATTAGACAAATGCCGTTCCACCCGGTTAATGGTAAGGATGCCAGTAACCACACTCGGGCACGAGACACCAAATGGATCAAAAACCTACCTGTCAACTACGGGCTCTGTTATCTCTACTATTGCGACTTGACAGTCGTCGTGCAAGAAATTGTCTACAAAGTCTATTCAGTAGACTGCGTGATGGTACCATGGACACAAATCGAGAGCCGGATTGGTGAACTCAAGTCCCGAATCGAGGCATGGAAATCCAACCTTCCAACCGGGCTTGACTTCACACAGAAGGAAGACAAAGGACCGGATATCCTTCGCTGCAAACTGAACTTAGCGCTGCATTACTACAGTGCGCGGATCACATTAGGCCGTCCCTGTCTCTGCCGGCGTGATGCGCGCCAAAAGGGCTCGAACCCCTCCTTCAGTCACGAAATGGCAGTGGTAACCCTGGAATCTGCACGGCACATGCTGAATCTAATTCCGGATGAGCCGGATGCTCTCCAACTGTACGGGATTGCGCCATGGTGGTGCATCCTCCACTATCTCATGCAAGCTGCGACCGTTCTCCTCCTCGAGCTGTCCTTCGGCACCGTTCACATGCCAGAAGAAGAAAAGAACTTCATCAACCTGTCTAAGAAAGCAATCCGCTGGCTCTTCGCAATGTCAGAGCAGAGCATTGCCTCCAGACGCGCCTGGCAGCTCTGCGACCTCAGCCTCCGCAAACTAGCCCAGGGCATGAAGTACGACGTCAGCGACATGCCTTCCTACCCATACACTCCAGAGCCTACAAGCACTATCAGCTCGGAACCGCCATCCGACCAGCCCATATCGCAGACCACTGGCGACTACTGGGGCCCGCAACAAGAACACCCTCCGGTGTCTGTTCCGGATGCACCGCCTGGTGAAGACCAATATGCCTATCCGAACATCTCGACCGCGGACCTGATGGACTCGTTGACTGCCGAGGCCCAGGACTCATACTTCCCTTATGATCCTATCAGTGGGGAGTTTATGCGTTCTTTCTTTCCTCATTCCAATGAGAATGAGAACTGGGAAAATTGAATACAATTATCGTCCATACTGATGAATGCCTTGTATATGAAACCACAAAATAACACGCAAGAACACGACGACAAGAGAATGCGAGTTCCCTGTCATCATCCTATTCTTTTCGGCTGACTTTCCCACTTATTGCCCGTTAACCCAACATCATATCCCATGTCCCTGTATGCGACATCTCATTCCCAGCAGTATACCTAGGAACCATTTTTTTTTACCTATTCATCTCCCCATCCTTATTTCTTATCCCTATTTCTTATCCCTATTTCTTATTCCTCCCCTTTCTTACTCATGTTTAACTAACTTCCACCTCCACTTAATGCGTATGTGATGTGATACCTATTTATCTTTTGTCTTCATTTTACGAATCTGTTTCTTTCCCTTTGGTCTACCACAAATATCTCTTTGCATTACAAATGTGTTTATGATGGTCCACGGATATAGCACTACCGGGCTGCCTCAAAAGTGATTCCCATATGATATCCAGAAACAACCGAAAACAAAACGCGCGTGATATTCTTCAGATCTATGATTGATATTGGTATTGAAAGGATTTTTAAGGATCCGGGCTGTGCCTCGGTCCAGAGCTGGACTCGCAACGGGGCTTTGGGCGTTTATCTCTGGTTTTTAGTTAGCATAAAAACTAGGATTTTTGATATCAAATCCATTCACGTTTTATTTTCCAACGTGTTCCTCTTGGGTACAATATACACATTGCCCCGTCTCAATTACACGGCCTTCTAAATTAGTCCATGGAGTGGGAAAAAAAATAGTATATACATTCGAGAATAGTTTTTACTTTAAAAATAAAAATACATACAAGACAGGACAGGACCCAGAAGAAAAGAAGTCTCTCCCACATCCTACATCTTGTGATTATCGTAAGGCCACTTTGGTTTTGGCTCTGATGCCAGCTCCGGCTTCGGCAAAGTCTCCGCCAGTTCCTTCGGCCAGTGAGATCTCATGAAGGGATCGGACCGGTTGTACTTGATCCGCATCCTAACAGGTCTGCGTGTAGGCGAAGAAAAGACTTTTCTGAGCTGCATGCGGCGCATGTGGCCAGGGATCTCGATGTCGACCTGGTCTTCCGGGAGACCGAATTTGAGGAAGGTCTCGAGACAGAAGTCTAGAATGGACTCGAGCTCTGTTTGGGGCATCTTGCCGGACTTTAATTGGTAGGGGTATTCCTTGCGGGAGATGGAGGGTGTATATGGAATGGTGGGGTCGTAGACGAAGGAGGAAAAGGGGGAGGAAGAGGTGGTGTTGTGAGGGTCGGTGGTTTTGGTTTGGGGTATACTGGAACTGGGACTGGGACGGTGGCGGTGGGGTTGTTCGTCCGTTGTTTGTTTCACGCACTCTGCATATTCTCGGACGGCACTTCGTGCGAGGATGCGGACGGTGTTGAGGTCTGCTATCGTGGCTTTGCTTCGGACATGGTTGACGTAATCTGCGTCCCATCCTGGGGAACCGTGTGAATTGGCCCGTTCGTCGCTGAACAGCAGCCGGGCAACACCACCTGGAGATTGGAGCTGGCGCTTGGGAGATACCCAGTCAACACAGACTTTATCCCAGAGCTGCTTGCCGACGATAGCACCCTGCGTTTCCACGACGGCAGCGAAGATCTCGTGGAATGTAGTTGGGGGAATCAAAGTGGCTTTGTGGTGTCCGGTAATTTCCTTGGGTGCCTCCACTTGTTTGAGTATGTCCGGTAGCGGACCTGGGATGGCGGAGAGCACCCGGTGCATACGAGAGAGTGTTCGAAGCTGGAAGTTCCTGACTTTCTCACGTGTATAATTAGCATGCCACTCGCCGCGGAAAAGGCGGAGCAAGATGTCCGTGGCCCGTTTCAGGTCTTCTGTATCTGCCTGAGTCAAGGTGCCGGTAGATGTCTTATGTTTAACGGTTGCATCGAGCCGAATTATTGCACTTGCCAGTACGCCGATATTGATGTAACCCCAGGACTTAGCTCGGTGCTCGGTCAGGAAGTTGAGCATCAGCACCACGCGGTTCCAATCCTTTCGTGCAATACTGAAGTTGATCAATGATTTAATGGTGTTCACAGAAAGAGGAATCGCGAGCGACGCGATGACACGCTCGCCAAGCTCGACATTAGCAGTGGCAGCTGCAAACCGAAGAATAGATGGTGCCAGGGCCTGGCTGCGATATGCGCTTTGAGGGATGGCAGGGCCATCAATGCCATTGTCCAGGAGTAGTTGTTGGCCAAAATCAAACGCGTGGGTTGTAGTTGCCACGTCAAGGAGATTGGCAAAAGTAGCGCATGATAACTGCGGGATAGACGATTGAGAGATATCTTGAGGTTCGAAAGATTTGAAATCAAACAACAAAGAAGCTTCTTCATCGCTGGCTTTGCTCATCCGTTCAAAAAACCTTTGGATGTGCTGTGCCTTGCTTGCATCGGCAATATTTTGAAGCCAAGCATATTCGTGGAAAAGGCGTCCGCTTTGCTTGTCCCGAGCATAATAATTGAGATTGAACTCGATCAGGCCAGTCATAGCGGCCGATTCATCATAGAACTGCGCCCGCGTTTTTCCATCCAACACTTGTGCCAGGCTCAACTCGTTCCCTTCCCACGGGGGAACAACACTGTGCTGGGACCTTAGGAGATGCTCAAATGAAACAGGATCAGAGGACGGCTTTAAACAGCCCGAGGCCAATATCCGTACAATGTGCCAATTGGTAAACCTGTTTGTTGGCCGAAGCTCTTCACGGCTGGGCACAGGAGGGTCAATAAGTTTAGTCAGAGGGGCTGATAAATTGGTGAGATCCTCAGGAAGATATCCACGATCTCCCATTCCGACATAGGCCTTGTTCGCCAAGCCACTCCGCAGCGACGCAACCACCTCGGAGCTGATAGTTCGGAACCCAAGTCCATTGAATGGTGCTTTGTCTTGGCCCTTGGTTGTTGGGGGTTTCTCGTTTTGGCCTGGCCGACGCCATGATTGCTCGATACTGACATTAGTTTGCTGTACTGTATCAAGGTCATTTATTAGAGGTGCCCAACTCTCAGCTTTCCATTCGCTAAGCCGGGCCATTTGATGCACGAGTAGTGTGCCTGTTCTGCAAAACCCATGCTCCACACAACACCATAGAATGAGCTCAAGCCAGATCTCGGGACCCAGCTCTCGAATTCCCGGCATGTAAGGAATGAAAGGCGACGGCTCTCCTACATCAGCGGCCGCAGCGGCCACTGCTGTTTCATGTTCATGCCACGCCGCGTCGGACAAAACGCTCATTATGGAACTTGACAAAAAATGGAGCCCTGGCGGGCGGAACACAATCTGGCTGGCATCTGGTTTCGGATATTGATAAACTCTGTCAGAGATCATGCCTGCATGGTGTAAACGGGCAAGAGTTCGGAATACACAGGACATTGCATGCTTTGAATCATCTGACCGACTGCGTGCAGCATACAAAACCAGAGAGCCGAGGTTTGCAAGTACTTCAGCCAAAATTCTCTCTCCAAAGAATCTCGGTGCAGGTTCCACCGTCAGAGTATCAAGAGAAATGTTATCTGATGAAAGAGGTTGTAGACGAGACCATTTCCAAGGGGATGATGATTTTGTGCCTCCCGTGAGCTTGCTGAGGGAGACCTCCTCGGTGATGGGAGACACCAAGTCGGATGTTGACTCATCTCTGCGGCGCACGCGAAATGGTCTGTTCCAATCAAGCCCAGCCGAAGGGTGTTTAGGAGGCATATGAGAAGCTAGCAACTCATACGTGTCGATCATGCTGTTCAAAAGAGCCTGCACATTAGACCACTCATGGTGCGCAAATCCGAGATGCGCAAGGAGTTGAAATTCAAAATGAACCCTTCCATCCCATAGGCACCCCAGTAGAGCATGGGTCCGATCAAGCTCATATTCAGATTCGCGCAGTGGTTGAAGCCGCCTGGGCTGGCCTGCAGGTTGGGCGACATCTGGTGGCTTGGCAATTTTTGGTGGTATACAATCCCTCAGCACTGGCATCCATTCCTCAATATGTCTCTTCTGGTCATGCCTGAGGCGAGGGTGTTTGATTAAATTGTATCGGCGTAGGAAAAGAACTTCATCCGGGAAATTAACCTCTCTTTGGTCATTGCGAGTTTTCCGGGTAAATTGAGTCCAAGTCGGCCGGGAGAAAGGAGATACGGATCGATATGGGAGGAAAGGGAGGCGTGAAGCAGCTGGCCTGCGACCGAATGGCAGGATGCGGCCGGGGCGCAAGCACCTGCTCATGGTACCGCGACGAGGCTCGAAGGCGGGTGTATAGGTTTCGCGATCTCGATGGGTACGGGATTGGCATGATACATGTCGATTTCACAGGTACATAGCGGAGTATTCACGAGATCCAATTGAACCCCGTACCAACAGGGGTGAAGACCAAAGATGAGGGAGATGAGGTAAATGTTGTTTCGAGAATTTTGGAGATCAGAAACTGCTGAGTCAGCGCCGAGCTATGGGCCAATCGGAGGCCACAGAATGCGGAGTTCCTTATACTTCCAACGTAGGCACGTCTATATTGTCAGGGGATTTCTTTCAAGTGTATTCTTATTTGGCTTTAATGATATCTATGGTCAGTATATTGCCTACTCAATGAGCGCTAAGTCACGCGATATATGATGCCTGAGCACTGAGGATTCTACGGCGACTGTTACGGATAGGGCTATCTAGGTTGATAGAGAACCATTACTATCAGCATCTACCCACATTCTTACTGGTCAAGAACCTTTATCCACTTCATTTCTGCTCACCTCAAGTGCTCTTCAGCGTATGTTCAAAACAAAAAAATACAGTGGACATACATTGCCTATTTAGGAAGAGCATACTCCGTATAGCTTCAAGATCATGACTTGTTGTCCACCTTACCAACATTGACAGGCAGAAATCCAGAGACCTGCCGAACTATCAGATCGGAGCAGAATTTTAGGGAATGAAGCTTAATGAGATCTAGGTCTTTATTAAGTCACAATATTTTAAATGCTTGAACTCCAAAGGGAGCCGACTTATTCTTAATCCTTCATAGAGTGTAGAAATGCGTCCAAATATCTGATTGAAGAATCATGCTTATTTGTAGGGCCTTCAACACTACTCTTCCAAGTGAAACCATAACGAATAACTAATCTAGCCCGTTCGTCATGGCACTTTTGGTGTCTGTAGAAAGTATCCTAGGAAAGGCCTTCTAGTTTGCATGAATTTTCATGGTAATGCCAACCACTTGAGTTCATAATACCAAACAAGTTGTAAATCCCCAGAGAGACATTCCAAATGGCAATATCTTTGCTTCGGCCTAGTCAACAACCCCAGTGATACCGCCTACTTTAGGATTGACAGTAATGTTCATCTATAGGTCATCGTAGGTTAGAGCCAACGGGTACGTGGGAGCAAAGATCGTTGGAAGTTCCTCGTGGAGCTTAGAGATGACCTCGGTGAAACACGAAGGGAGTTGCTATAAAAGTAGGTCAATTTTATCTTAAAGGTCTATGGAAGAGTGCTGGGGGATATGAGGTTCTATGAGTCTGTTCATCCATGAATTGGCAACAAATTTAGAAAGATCAGTTATAGTCCCACAGCATACTAACATGGAAAATCCCTCAGAAATCCGACACTATTTGTTTATACCACGAAAGACAATGAAGTGTTATCACAGGGGCCTCGGTTTACGTTATCCCGGGGACCTTGTCCGTGACATCGACAACAAGGGAGGGCGACGATCCGATAAAACCTTTACTTCGTACAAGCTGGCACAATATCGCCATATATATCCCGAGCAAGCCACGAAGCCTGGGTATCCAAGAGAGAATCAGAAACATGGAATTGTACCAGAAGCTCCCCAGTGGCTCCGGTGTAAGTAAACACCACATGAAGTTGAACTGGCTTCACAGCTTCTCCAACAATCTTAACGGAGGTTTGGTCGTATTCGTCCCGCGTGACAATGCAGCTAGAAAAAAAATGTGATTGATTTTGTCTTCAAGCGAATAGCAAGACATCCTGGAAACTAGGATTTGCTAGGACAAAGTATAAAAAAACCGGCGTCAAAAACAGAACAGGGATAATAAGGGGTCTCCGGTGTGGGGGCTTAGTTTAGTCTTAAAGTAACTTTGAAATAGCCTAATGCAGATGCATAGAAATTAATTATCCTGGAAAACTGCAGGTGAACCGACCATGGCCTGGTATACCATATTCTTCGGCCATAGGACCATAATTGGATCATAAAGCGCTTTTCGATGGGTGTCGTGAACTCTATACTGTTTCCTGATGCATACATATAAGACCCTTTGCTGGGGTTCTGTGGGGTGGTCCTACCTTATAGCTTGGTAGTTTTCTAATACTATTATGGTTATGCAATGTTCGCAAGCCTACTGGTTTACTACTCTAGATGGCACTAGGGAAAATTCTCCAAAATAGCAACAATCTCTTCTCTATAGCTGGTCCAGCAGCCACAGAACATACAGTAATGACCTATCTCACATGCTACACAAGCGAAGCTGCCAAGTGCAGAATCTAAAACAACATATGACGGGCGTGACGACGAGCGAAGTCTCCCTGCTCAACAGTAGCAGCAGTCGCGGTCGCGATAGGCAGAATGGTGAAGGAACCGCTGGAGGACTGGCTACCGGAGAAGCCACCGGGGAATCCAGGGGGGACACCGGTAGACTCGGGGAAGCCAGAAGGCACGACGGTAGGGACGCTGGTAGGAGCGCTGGTTGGGGTGCTGGAAGGGAAGCTGGTGGGGAAGCTGGTGGACTCGGATCCATGACCGTGCCCTCCGTGCTCTCCGTGGCCTCCATGGCCTCCACGGCCGGGTCCCTTAATACCAGGACCATGACCAGGTGCTCGGCGGCCAAAGGAGAATCCAGTTGGGAATCCAGTTGGGGTTCCAGTCGGAGTTCCAGATGGAGTGACAGACGGGGTTCCAGATGGAGTGACAGACGGGGTTCCAGATGGAGTGAAAGATGGGGTTCCAGTTGGGGTTCCAGATGGGAAACCACCAGGGAAGCCACTGGAAGGAGAACCGGTAGGAGTAGCAGATGAGGCCTTGTCGGCGTGCTGGGGAGACATGTCAGCAAAGAACGAGATCTATGAGGATTTATAGTGTAGATACTCACAGGTAGCTTCCAGGCCGCAGCAGACGGCGCCATGAATAGGGCAGCAACGCCAAAGGCAGCAGTAAACTTCATGATGAAGTGTTGAGTTGTTGGATACTTAAAGATGAAAGTAGGTAATGAATGGATGCTGGAAGTAGCAATGTAAAGAAAGATCTGAAGCTTTTGAAAAGAATGAAGGTGCACAGCACTGATGGTTCAAAAAAAAACCCGCGAGCACAGCAAGTTCTAGCTGGCTATATACCCCTTGTGTTTCATTGCTGAGACTCAAAATAATGGGTTGGGCCGTTAAAAGACCGTCGGAAGACCGCTGAAACACTCTGTGTTCCGTGAGAGGAGCTGGATCTGCAGGGGACCAGGCCTCATCCCGTGGCGAAAGAATTCAAGAAGGTGTGATCTTCATAGATAGGAAAATAGCCCTATCACCCGGAGTATAGCATATTGCAGTGGAACCAGGAACTACGGTACAGATGGTGGACGGAATGGCCGTATATTGTGCGGAGCAGGTTGTTTCAGACAAAAAAAGACAAGGATGAAACGGGCGAATGATAGTTCTCCACCTTGTTGTGCACATCGCTCCTGTCGATCACTTATGTATCTGACGAAGGAGGTGTGTCCTGCCCGACGGAGATTGGCGGAGCCCTAAAGGCGGCATGCCGCGCCAAGGCTGTCCAGAAACATACACCTGGCCAACATTGTATAATTGTAGAAGCTAACTTGAGGGATTTCTTTTGTCCCTAGAAGTATTTGATCGCTCATTTATGATATTTTTTGCTATGGATGGTTTTGCTAGAAATATGTACGGTGTAAACATGTCCACGCATAAATTCTTATATTGTAGCATTATTATATACTTCCAAAATTCTTATAGATTTTTATAAAACAATCTATAACAAACTATATTGTGGGGTTCATATTGCCCAAATCCTTCGATAAGCAATAACTTCTGACATTTTAATGGATCTTTTAAGTCTTAGTTTACTTTGCTAGCCACTTTCGAAGAACGACCACATGGGAATGGTGCCATGCACTGGTCAAAGCTTGCAATACTAACAACATACGGAGTACGCGAATGCGATTGGGAAAGTTAGCCACACCTACCTAGCTAGTCTACGGTGTAAGATCATATTTCTATCTTAGAAATCATAGCAGATGCGAAAACATAATCGAGAGCGTCAATAACATAACTAATGACGCTGTACAATCTCCACTCTTTCACCGTTCGCCTTACTTTGACATGCAAGTGATTCTTCGTCAGAGGTGAAAAGTAATCTCTTTACTCCATATCCTCTGTGGTTGTTCCATACAGGTCCATATTGAGAGCGCCAAAGATGCAAAAATAAAAATAAAAATAAACAAATCCAGAATATGCCAGCTTAGACGAGGGCAATGGTTAGTTGTGCTTTGGCAGATCTAGAGTGAATGAACATACTTGAGTCCTATCCATCCATGCGATCGGCTTGAGAATGATAACATGGGTTGATCCAGAAACTACAAGCCGCCACCAAGCGGTTGATATAATGTGCACAAAGAGTCGCGCCAGAAGATGGAACAACTCGTGGGAGTCTTCCAGGAACCCCGTGAGAAAAGCAACGTGACTCTTTTAGCATTGCTCTCTAGAGCAACTGGAAGCATGGCTGCAGCGTATATATATCTTAATATCCATGACAAACCAGATATTTCAAAATTTCAAGCTCATTCGCGTTTGGCATGTTTTGTACTGTAGCATCAGATCAAACGTAGTATCTGTTTCGTTTAACTGAGAGGATTTAATCGCATCAAGTGTCAGCTCGCTTGATTTCCCTGAATAATATCCAGCCTTGTAAGTACATGCTTAAGGTAGAAAGCCGACTGCAACAGTGGACTAACCCTGGCGAAGATCGGGTATGATACACGTCGGAGCTGCTTTGTGACTTTGTTAATAATGATTTTGCTGAACAAGGTATATCTTCCAACCAAAGGGAAGATCCAGCCAATAAGCCATCTACACATATAGAGATGAGACATAACAAGCCAATAAGTCGAGCCCTGGATGTAGATTATTGCTCGAAAGGGTAGCTTGGAATTCACCAGTCCTCCATTTACAAAAAAAAGGCAATATTAAAACAATATATTCATTGCGCGTTCTTCTCGCCAAAAGCCTGCACTGATCCGGGGGTATTGTACATGAAACCAACACAATTAAATTGAACACCAAATCGTCAAATCGTGACAAAGTAACTTCAAAGCTCCTCTTCGAGAACTTCTTCGCCTCCAAGCTCTTGTTCCACTTCGTCGACGACGAAGCTCTCGTAGTCCTCAAGACCCTTTTGAACATGTACTTTGAAGCGAATCACGTCGTTGAGCATTGTTTCGACGTTAGTGTGCAACTCCTCTCGGAGAGAATTTGCCCGAAGCGTCAGTTGTTCGTATTCGATATTGGTGTTCATCTCGCGCTGCTCCATCAACTGTACACTGTCACTGAGCGTAGCGCGCATCTTCGCCAACTCCTTCTCCATCTTCTCAATTTGGGCATCGGAGGCAAGCTTCTGAGTAGTCGTGATTTCCTTTGTTCGTTCAAACTCTTCCTCTGCTGCCCGACGTCGATGTTCCAGGGCCTCAACCTCGCTTCGTTTCTCATCCATTGCCTCTTTGATGTTGTCGAGTAGATTGCGACGGTCAAGGTCGTCATCGATCCCTTGCTTCCGTCGTTCATTGATCTCTTTCCGGAGTGATTGCAGGCTGTTTCGGACAGAGCCCCGTAGATCCAAACTGAGCAAATGCGCCGGGTGATAGCCAGTGAAAGGCTCCGCCAATAGGCGATCCCCCTCGGGAGAAATTCGGTTGGGAGGGCCACCAATCTGGCTCGCGGAGAAATTGCTCTCATTAATATTCAGACTAAGCTCATAATCTTGGCCCTTGGCATTTTCAGCAGCCGCGGGAATCAAGCTAGTTTGGTAGCCAAGAGTATTGTAAGCTTTCACGATCTGTTCCAGATCTTCCAGTTTCTGGCTGGCTTCCGCTTCCTTCTCCATGACACGGGCATGGGCCTCTTCTAGGCGAGCCACGGTATCTTCGAGATTCTTCTGCAAACGTTCTCGCTCCGAGTTCATGCGGTCGATATCCTGAATAGTGATGCCTTGGCGATCAACACTTGCCTGGAGATCGGAACGCTCAGCTTCAGTGGCCTGGAGATCGGTATCAGTTTTTTGGATCTCCGCATCGAGGAATTTGATGCGAGTCTCGTATTTCTCAATTTTGCCTTTGACGTTCTGGTTATAATCCTCAAATTTCCTCTTGTCATCCTCCAAGATGCGGAAGTGTTTATCCAACTTGGCGATGTCGGGAGCACTCTTCTCCACTTCTTCGATTTGGTCGCGAAGAGCCCGGTTCTCCACCTCTAGGGCCTCCATTTCCTGCACGTAGCGCTCATTGCCGTGAGCGAATTCTCGCGACATGCTTTCAACGTGCGGAACCAACCGCTTCTCCGCGGTGTCATCATCCTCGTCTTCACCACCCTGCAGCCAATCGTGGTAGGCTTGCGTGAGGAAGCGGAAAATAATGCGATCACCGCTGACATCGACACCCGCTTCGGCGCAGGCATCATCATACTCGCCGGACTGATAGCGATCCATCATCTGTGCCAATTGCATCAACCAATGTAGCATTCCGAGGAAGGTCGACCAGTTCTGGCCACCAACGGCTGCGATTTGTGACTTCGTAATGCCTTTCTCATACGGGTATCTTAGCTGTTTCAGAATTGGCGGTACTTCGGAGTCCATCGCTTTTTGGAACTTGTATCCCGGATCGATCCGATGATATAGCCACTGGAAGATAAAGTTGAAATCCTTTTGGGTCGGCGAGCGAAGAGTGTTCTGCCCCAAGGAATGTTTCATTTCCAACTCGAACCCATGAATAGTCAAATACTCCAACAGTTCCTGGCCAATTCGTGCCTGGAAAGATCGGTCTCTGAGAGGGCGCGGGTCTCTGGGAACACCAGCTACGGTGGGAACTTGAGTGAAGAACGATTGATGTCCCATCGGCCCTCCTCCCGTAGATGGTCGCGAAAACACACTGCTTCTGCGCTGTGGGTTTTGAGGAGGCGCAGGATTTGAGGAAATGGACCCTGGCGCGTAGCTCTGCCGACTGGCACTGGCTCCAGTAAACATGTTACTCGACACTGATCGGCGAACAGACGAAAGGCCGGCATCAGCGCCATATGGTCCACCAATTGACATGCGCGTAAAATTGGGCTGCTGCGGGCGACCAGTAGAGCCCATCAAGGAAGTTCGGTGGTTCTGAGAGCTGAACGGGGGGTTTTGGAAACCGATAGAGCTTGCGCGCTTCAGTGCCGACTGCGGTTGGGGGATGGCGGAGAAATTCTGCACACTCCCGAGAGTCTTGATCGCAACATAAATTAGCCCCAAGTCTTGCGCTGGATAGGAGGGATCTATACTTCTCGGGGGCGCTTAATACTGAAAAGCCCAGTATCTTGCGACATGGTGATAATTAAGCCGCGAAGGCGGCAATAGACAAGGCGATTCTTTTCGCAACTGAGGTTTGAATATGGTTGTGTATTGACAAATATTCAACGTCCAAGTGGGTTGCACCACAAAATCCGAGAGGAGGGGTTTGATCTGTTGTTTGGCAGGCATGAGGCGGGATTTGGGCCAGCGATGTAAACAAATGCGTGCCACTTTCAAATGAGGTAGGCGGTGTGTGGCCAAAGGAAAAACAGTTTGGCCGATAATCACGAGACTCCCGGTCTGGGGAAAGTCTTGGCGTTGGCGCCAGTTCCGAGGTCCAAATGGCGATTGCCGATGTGAGCGTCGCATCTCTCTCCCCTTAATTCATCTCTCCTGCACTTCACTGGTAGTCGATATCAATCATAATGGCTCCACGCGAGGAGCTGATTGCCTCAGCTGTAAGTTGTCTATTGCCATACTGTCTCCTATCATCCGCTTTCGGGGCTACCGCTAACTCATGTGTCCGCTAGATTACCTGTATGGACTACGAGGCACACAACTTGATGTGTGATGATCGCTGACTTTATCTAGTCCTCCAGGACCCATCGGTTGCATCTTCGCCCATTGAAAAGAGGGTCTCATTTCTTCAATCTAAGAACTTGACTCAAGAGGAAGTGGACATTGCCTTATCGCGAGTGGGCGAAGACCCATCTGCCGCGGCCGCAGCTACAACTTCGGCATCCCCGGCGCCTAGCTACTCTTCACAGCCAGTTCCTTACCGGCAACCACAGCCGCCTCAAGGATATGGCTATCCTCCATATAATCAATGGCAGCCGCCTCCTGAGTACGTTTAACTATCGATCGTCGCATGGTGCTTGAGACTAATCACACGAAAAGGCCACCCAAGAGAGATTGGCGTGACTGGTTTATTATGGCAACGGTAGTGGGTGGAGTTGGTTATGGATTGTATACCGTCACAAAGGTATCCAGTGGTCCCCTTTCTCAAAACTAATGGCGCTGATAAATCCATCCAGCGTTATATCGCACCTTTAATCGCCCCACCGACCCCTCCCCAGCTGGAGCAAGATAAAGAAAACATTGATGAGCAGTTCTCACGTGCATTTACTCTGATCGAACAACTATCGACCGACACTGCTGCATTGAAGACCGCCGAGGAAGCCCGTACCGAGCGCTTGGATGGGGCTCTCAAGGACGTGGAGAATCTTGTTGCTGATCTCAAGAACTCATCCCGCCGAAGAGACGATGAGACTCGTCGCATTAGCGACGAGGTGAAGTCATTGAAGGATGCCATTCCCAAGGCCCTTGAAGGTGCCCGGGAGGGCAATGAGAACAGACTGAAGGAGCTCGGAACCGAGCTCAAGAGCTTGAAGACCTTGCTGGGCAACCGACTTGGTGGTAGCGGCGCTACCCCTGTTGCTGGCAGGACCGTTGGATCTACTCCCATCCCCAGTATTCCTCGCCCGGCACCGGAAGAGACCCCCGCCACTCCCGCTCCTCCTGCCGCCACCAACACCTTGGCTGCTACTGTGACTCCAGCTGAACAGGAGCCGACGCAGGCCGCTACCCCAGCGAGCACAAACCAGAGCCCCAACCCCCTCTCGCAGCTTGGTCGGTCTGCCTCCATCCCGGCATGGCAAATGGCTGCAGCCAACCGGTCTAAGGCCAGTTCGCAGTCGAGTTCACCTGCCACCCCTGCTGAAACCACCGCTAGCCCGAGCCTGGAGCAGAGTGCTCCTCCCAGCTAAAGTTGAACTAGGTTTACTGAATTATTGAATATTGTATACCTCTTCGCCTAAATGTATTTATCACAATGAAGATTTTTCCTTGGATGAAATAAGTACTCCGTAATATAAAGCCTTTACTTCTGTATAAATTGATAGTCGAGATTAACAAAATTGAGATGAAGAATGCGTTAGAATCGTTGGAATAAAAAACCTGGGGACGATCTTGGGAATCAGATGGCCGAACCGATAAGCCGACCTGACCTGTCTTTCCTTATCATCCCCCAGAAGACAAACTCCTCCAGACTTTCCAGAACCTTTCAACTACGAAGGAATCAGCAAAAATGACTTCACCAACTCGCTCGTCGCATCGAGCGGTCTCTCCCTCTGCGCCAAGTTCAAGCCGCCATCACCGCAGCCGCCGCAGCCATTCCCACCGCCACCGGCCCCGAGAGAGCTCGCGCTCGCGCTCTCCGCACCGATCAGACAGACACAGATCAGACCGTCACCACCGCCGTGGCGAAGACAAAGACGGGCACCACGAGCGACGACACAGAGATGCTCCAGCGAAACCGGTCGTGCTCCCTTATCAAGCGCGCGAGCTATCAGGGCGCGACCTGAAGGTTTACGAGCCCATGTTTGGGATGTACTTAGATATCCAAAAAGGAAAATATATCGAAGACTTGAGTGAAGATGAGGTGAAAGGGCGATGGAAGAGCTTTACGCAAAAATGGTAAGCATGAGGGTGTTCTTTGCTTGGCGCGATATTTACTGACATCGCAGGAACCGCGGAGAGCTTGCAGAGGGATGGTATGATCCCGTTACACTCGACAAGGCACGCCAGAATGCAGAAGAAGAACCGGCAGCTGGCCCGAGAGGCAGACGCGAATCGCCTGATTATACGCAGCGCGAGCGAGCGACCGGTGAAGCCCTACAGGATCCGCCAGTAGGCGATGACGATGATGACGAGGATGAGGATGACGAGTACGGGCCTAGTCTGCCACAAGCTGGCTCAGGGAGAGGCGGCCCACAAGCGGGCCCTGCCATTCCAACTATGCAAGATCTCGAGCTCAAAAGAGGTACGCTTTTCTACTTCCCCCCAAATATGACCAGAGCGCTGACTTCCCTCCAGAATCTGCTTTTGAGGATGCCGTCGCTGCCCGCAGTGAATCACGCGATCAGCACCGCGCTGAAATTCGTTCACATAAATCCGAAATGCGCCATCTCCAAGAAGAGATTGCGCCGCGGGCTGAGCCAGGTACACGGGAGAGACAGCTCGAGAAGCGGCGAGAAGCTGCTTCGAGCAACCGTGCATTTGCGGACGCGCGCGGTGGTTCACCCGAGGCAGCTCGTGATGAAGATTTAATGGGCGGGGGCAATGAGTTTTCTGCCTTGAAACAGGAGAAGGAGAAAGACCAGCGTAAAAAGAACGACCGTGAGATCCGGAGAGAGGAGATCCTTCGTGCGCGTACAGCGGAGCGAGAAGAACGTGCGCAGGCGTATCGACAGAAGGAGCAAGAGACTATGGGCTTCTTGCAAGCTCTGGCGAAGCAGCGATTTGGCTGAAAATTAAAAAGGGCGTGTCGTGTTCACGCGCCCTCACCCTTCTGAATATCCTGTATTCTTCACTCTCAGATTCATAAAGCAATAATATAAATATGATCTACACCACATACTCTCCCAGTCGGCCCATCCGCTCCAACGGAACGGTCCGACACCGCCATCGGAGTGACTCCGAGGTATTTAGACCATGTACGATCTCCGTTAAACAATGTCCAGGTTACTATAAACCCAGCATGTTCAAACAATTATATCGCCTACCATGCCGGTCAAACTTGATACAATTGGCACCCGGTAGCCGGCGATATCTCCAGACCAAAAAGCAACACTCCCTACCAGCAGCATACTACCGCGGCGGCACCTCACGTGCGGTCTTCTTCAAGCAGGAAGACCTGCCCCCAAACAGAAAAGACTGGGCCCCCATATTCCGCAGTGTAATCGGCAGTCCAGATCCCTATGGCCGACAACTAGACGGATTAGGGGGTGGGATATCCAGCCTCTCGAAGGTCTGCGTAGTCGGCGCATCGACACACGACGAAGCCGACGTTGATTACACCTTCATCTCGCTCGGCATCAAGAACACCGACGTCGACTATTCCAGTAATTGCGGGAACATGAGCTCCGCCGTCGGCCCCTTCGCCGTCGATGCACACGTGTTCCCATTACAGGATCCCAGCCCGGATTCAGCCTCGGTACGCATCCACAACACCAACACCGGCAAGATCATCCATTCGTCCTTCCCCGTTGTCGACGGTGAAGCTGCTGCCAGCGGTGACTTCGCTATAGACGGTGTCGCTGGTACAGCGGCCCGCGTCCAGCTCGACTTTATCAACCCCGCCGGCTCGGTCACGGGGAAACTCTTGCCTACCGGCAATGTCGTCGACACCTTTGACGGAATCAGGGCTACGTGCATCGATGTCGGAAACCCGTGTGTCTTTGTGCAGGCGCTTGATCTCGCCGTGAGTGGGAATTTGACTCCTGATGAGATCACTGCTCATCCGGATTTGCTGCCGCGGTTGGACTCTATTCGTCGGCAGGCGGGCGTTAAGATGGGTATTGCGGATGAGACTGGGGCGGTTCCCGGGAGTGTGCCTAAGATCTGTGTTGTGGCTGCCCCTTCTACTACCGATTCTAGAGATATCGAGCAGAGGCAGACGTCTACTGATGTTGATCTTCTGGCTCGTGCCCTTTCTGTTGGACAGCCGCATAGGGCGGTCCCGATTACTGTCGCTTTGGCTCTTGCTGCTGCTGCTCGTGTGCCGCAGAGTACAGTGGCAGGCGTTGTGGATAAGGACCCTGTTGATAGTGCTGGTATTACTATCGGTCATGCTAGTGGGAATTTGCTGGTTGGTGCCAATTTCGATGTAGATGGAGCATTGACTTCTGCCACGGTCTTTCGTACAGCGCGTCGTTTGTTTGAGGGGCGCATTTACTGGAAGAATGATAATTGAGCCAGCGAATGGTGTTTGATGTACGTAAACGGCGGACCTATGAAGTATTCATTCACCTTGTAATACTTCAACAAAGTGGACCACGCGGATCTGGCAAGCTGTCACTTTCCGACTATTGCTGATAGTCCCATATCATTGCCTGCCACTGCCTGTTCTTCCTTTCCCTCTGCCTTTCCCTCCACTTTTCCCTCCACTGTGCCCTCCACCGCTGTGCCCTCCACCCGCTAGTTTCAGAAATGGATTAGTACATCACCCCAATATCCATGGATGCTTTGCTGGGTTCGCTTACCTTTCAGACACTCTTCGGCTTCCGAGCAAAGTTTCGTGAATTCCTCTTGGTTGGCGAAATAAGCCTTCTTCGCCTTTTCTTCGTATTTCTTCTTGAATTCCATTGCTTCCTTCTGTCCGCAGGTTTTGGCTTTCTGTGGATCGCAGGCAGTGGATTTACACTTCTTGCGCATTTCGTCCATCTTCTTCATATCATCCTCCTCCACTCCGGCTTTCTCTAGGTGTTGGTTGATCGCTGATTGGTGGGGTGCAAAACATTTAAAAAGGACATCACCCTTTGGGTCCCTCTTGCAGGCGTTCTTATATGCATCTTCAAGTTTCAAGCACCCATGTCCCATGGCCCCTCCAATACCTTTAGTCATTTCCCCTCCAACAGCTCCAAGCACATCACCGCCCCGGGCAAGTGAAAGAAAAGAGAGCAGAACGAATGGGGTGTAGAATTTCATGGTTATCGGTAGAGTAGTTTGTTTCAAATGCCCTAGAAGGAGAAAATAAATCGACAGTTTACCAGAGCTGTAGGAAAACTTATTCTGGTATTTATATTCGAGGTTTACACATACACAACGGACATGACGTGCATAGAATATTTGGTCTACATAATGATCAACTTAGCAACTTGTTCTGCAAGCTGAAATACCCACTCGCAAGCATATATTGACCTTTGAAGGGGAAGGATCGCCAGCATGACAAATGTGATGGCAAGATCAATTGCTACAATGAGATCGGCACTGATTTTATGTCCAAGCAGCACTAGGGTAGCAAAGTTTAGTAGGAGGTAGAAACTAGAACAAATAGTTAGTAGATCATTTCTGTAGATCCGGTCGATCGTTACTGTAGACGACTATCTGGCCTGTAAGTTGGCAAGGGGAGTCCGAAGTTTGTAGTACTTTTTCCTTTCAAGATCCAGCAGTATTGCCCTTCGTGGCATGGCAGACCAGGACAAGGAATTATCCTAGGCATATCCAAACAGAAGGATGCTCTTTTGTACACGTGGCATATTCCATATGTAAATAAAATTGAGTATAACGAGAAGACTACATATGTATATAGATGACTGGGTAGAACAAACGTGAAGAGACGAGAAAATACCTGATTACATGAGATATTGAAATCAAAACTTTTATTCTTGTACATCACAAGTGGTATAGTAATCTACATCATCGTCTATTCTAACCCTAGCTCTAACTAAGCATGCCTGCCGAGATCGATATCAGCAACCAGTTTCATATCATCAGTACCAGCCCCGTCACCCAGGCCAAAGAACGGCTTGACAGCAACATCAACCACCTCCTCAAACAAGCGCCCAACAACAGCCTCCTTCAGAGCCTCGCCAGTCTGCCCAAAGTCCGGGTACGCGTTGAGCTCCAGCAGCCACACACCCCCAGTAGCATCAACGAGGAAATCAACACCAAACAGCTCAAACGCATTAGGCAGAGTCTGGAAATGAACCATCATACCCCGGGCCGCAGCCTCAAACACCTCACCCGTCACCGCGCAGATCTGCTCAAAGATCTTCTCCTTCCAGTCTGCACTGAGACCGGGGACGTGATGGTCGAGGTCCCAGAAGCGGCGCACACTCCCTTCGTTCGAGCTGCCGCCTTCCTGGAAACAGGTGTTGGTCAGATGGCGCGCGAGGTCGGCGACATCGTTTTCTTCTTCGTGCGGGGCGCAGTAGGACTTAGCAGCGAAGAGCGCGAGCATCTCCTTGAAGACGTAAACCTTGAGTGAGCCCGAGGCGAGGACGTATGTGCGGATGTGGAATTTTCGGTTCGAGGACGATGGGAGGAGGAGGGGAGGGTCGATGTAGGGCTGTGCGAGGAAGTGACGGAGCTGCGAAGTAACGATGCCTGTGTCCAGGGCGGCACTGACGTCGGCTTCCGCGTCGTCGGCATTTGTCTCGGATCCGCTCTCGTCATCCGAGTCTTCTTCCCACTCCTCGAAGATCTCGCGTAGCTGGTCTTCGCTGTTGAAGATGCGGATTCCCTGGCCTCGATCGCTCATGCCGGGCTTGAGGATCCACCATTCCTTTTCGGAGTCGGGTCGCTCTTCGTTCTTGGCTAAGCTGTCGTTCAGTTCGTATGCTTCTAGCAGGGCGTCATCGAGGAATTCGGCATAGTCGAGTTCGAAGTCGAAGGCGGGCTTGAAGTGGTGTCGTAGGACGCTATCTGGGTGTTTTGAGATCCAATTGGCCACTGTGTTTGAGAGATAGTGCTTGCGAATCAAAGCTTTCCGGATGATGTATGCGCTCGAAAGAGACGTCGAGGGCCTGGACATGATATGCTCGAAGTCGAGGCGCTCATATTCGCGGTACTGGAAAAGCGGCGCAGAAGAGTCCGGTAGTTCGGACACAGAAGATACACGCTTGGAGGCACTTCCCAGGCGACGGGTCAATGCACGGTCAACCATTTCTTGCACGTATGAATCATCGCAGTCGACGAGAGAGTACAACGAGGGCTGATTAGCCGATCTACAAAATCTCCGTCTATCAGAAAGGGCGCTAATACTTGAAGAAAAGCAGATCAAAGGGGAGGGGACATGGTATCTAACAGCTAAGCCAGATATCTAAAGTGCATGCAACATGTAGATTTCGGATAGAACCCTCCATGCCATGCCCCTATCGCATCAAAGTCTCCACTCACAGCTTAATCTCCCCCGAAATACCGGGTGCGTGCATGAAGTTGGCCTTGAGAGGCGTGACACTGTAAAAGTCAGTCGATGTTCATAAGCAAAAGGGCATTGGACAAACCTGGTCATTTGCTCCTTGACGGTCCAGCCATCATTGCCGGGCTCACTTTCCTCCACGCTTCGGTAAACGTCCTGGAAGCTCGGCGCCCACTTGAAATGCTTGTGTTGAATTCGGGGTCCACGGGATGACTTCTCGCTGTTACCGACGGTCTGGTCTGGTTTGTTTCCTGCCACCTCGCCTTCGCTGCGCAGCAGCTGTTCTTGCAAATCAGGGTCGTCTGCGGATTTGGGGTCGACAGCCTGGAAGCAACTCCCGGATGTCCACGTATTCTGCAGCATGTTGGTATATAAGACTTTGTTCTCACTAACGCCGGGTTCGAGGGGAACATTGACGCTGTAGAGGTGCACCCCGTCTGCCCAATTCGCGCAAAGATGCTCAATCAACTTGACCGAATGGCCCGCGGCCTCTGCAATAACAACAGGGTCATGATTTCGAGAGCTGAAAGCATACGACAGAGCAATTGAGCGCTTGCCGCAGCAGGCACCTTCCAATGCCGCGCCAATAGTTCCACTCGACAATGCGAAGAGTGCGGTTGTGTTGCGACCATAGTTTGGACCGGAGACAATGACATCGATAGGGCCACGTTCTTTGAAGTAGTGATATAGACCGATCTGGACACAGCTTGCGGGAGTCGAGTCGATCAGAACCCATTCGTCGCCTTCGTCGAGTTCACCATCACTGCCCCGGGGCAGATGGTGTACTGTCCCGTCTTCTTGGTGGAGCGTACCGGGCCGGAAGTAGGTAGGTTTGACGGATGCGCCTACGATGTGCGCTTTACCGATCCATGATCGCTGTTGGTGCGGGAGAATGACCGAGACCGTGTGGCCCGCGGACTGCAGCGAGTGGACGAGCGAATGCACGTACGGCGATGACTGGTTTGACGGAGGACCGTCATCGTTGGTGACCTAGACGGAGATAAGCCTCCAAATTGACACTGCAAGAACTATATCTACTTACTAGGATATGCATTTGGGGTGAAGTGGTTGAGATGTGAAGAATGGAGGGGAAGAAAGTTCCTCCCCCGCTTTGCGTTGTCGCAATCGGCCCAGATGATCCACAATGCCATTCACACAATCATAAAGACATTACAACATATAGCACCAATCAGACCAGCTAGACCAAGGAAACCAACTTCAATCTGTTTGTGTCAAATGACTCCGCCGTCTCTGTAATCCTCGAGCTTCCGCGCTTTCTAGTCCAGAGCCTGTACCAGCTTCATCGACCTCGGCTGGATAGCTAGAAAGCAACCTCCTTTCCTGCTCCTCCGGCTCCTCCTTTTTGACCTCGGAAGATTCATCAGAAGTATCCGTATCCTCGGGATCTTCTTTGATAGAGCCTTCCGGCTCCTCCTTGATCTCATTCTCAGGCAAAGTCCCCAAAACCCAAGTCATCGCCAGCCACGTCAAGCCAGCAGAGAGCATGGAGACAGACCAGAACAGAGAGCTGAAAACAACAAAAGAAGTAATCCTCCAGCGATACATAAGCCATCTATCCACCTGTTAGCCACATCTCAAACATCCCGATCTCCAAGAAGACCTACCTAAGCCCCGTAAGCCTAGCACGGAATTCCACCCGAGCGGTATAAACCTGCATCTTCGAGTCACTTTGAATTTCTAATCGCAGACTCTGTGGCAAGTTCTGCGCCCCCTTCGTAAACTCAAGCAGCTCCATCATCGGCACCTCCAGCGTCTCCGACTCCCGGCGCCAGCCAACAACATAGAGCGGCATACGCGCCGCTCTCCGGGCAACATCCACCAGCGGCGAAGCATAAGTCATGATAGCAGGCCGGCGGGCCTGCGAGATAGGGGCGTTATTCGGGCCTGGTAGGAGGGATGACGCGGGGCGAGAGGAGAAGAGGGTAAGGTCGAGCATGAAGTTGCCTGTATCGAGGTTTGAGGGCGTGCGTGGGAGCTCGAGCGTCACGGATACGTCGTAGGGCTGGAGAGCCACGAATTCAGAGTCGAAGTTTGCTGTACCCCAGGGGTTACCATTGCTATGCACAAGTTAGTTGGTGTGTGATTGTGGGGAATGGTATCGTACCCGAATTGTAGATGGACTTCGCGCTGTAGCCCGATCGTGGGGATGAACTTGAAATAGAAGACCCCATAGGCAATTGCGGAAATGCCTATTAGGAACGCTGCGGCGCCCATAAACAGCAGCGTGTTCAGATATAGCCGTAAGGCGGACTTGGATACCAGCGCGCGGAACGGCGCGAGAACCGCGTCCTGTCTTGCGTCAGCTACAGCTGAGAAACTTGCATCAATACACTCACCATGATGACTGCCCTGACAGAAGATGGGCCATATTCAGACTCTCCAAATTCCGAGTCCGCCATTGTAGGGGAGTAGTTGGCAGAAACAACCTTGGACGTTGAGGTCTCATGGGGCTTATCCTGTTATCTCCGTTATCTGCACCGAGGTCTCCGTCCTACGCCCTACAACCACACCTACATACACATAGGTATGCCTACGATAATATCTGCCAATTCCTTTCCATTTCTTTAGCACCTGATAGTTGTACAGTGATGAAAAGTCCGACGGAGTTACGTATCCACCAGTTAGTCCGTTGAGTATCCAGCCGCGTCGACCATGTCAGACAGATGCAGACCTGTCAGTCTCCACCAATAGTCACCTGTTGTTATCGATCTTGACCAAGACCAATCTATCACTGCCGCAGCCAAGTTCATTGAAAAACGCTTCGGATCACTATATATTCTCATCAACAACGCCGGCATCCATAGATCATCCGACCCAAACGCTACCCTACGCGAGAGCTACCGAGCTGTGTTTGAAACCAATGTGTTCGGCGTGGCAGTGATGACTGCTACTTTCCTACCACTACTACGAGCCTCGAAGTACCATGACCGGCGTATTGGCAACGTAACGAGCGGCCTAGATCAAATTGACATTGCCTACTCGCCTCCTTCAGAGTACAATGCTAAGATGTGGGAGCTGCCCGTCTACCGCAGTAGCAAGTCCGCGATCAATATGATTAGTGCTGTTGATGCTGTCAGTCTTGAGAAGGAGAACATCCTCACTTTTCTCGCTGCCCCATGCTTCTGTCGCACCAACTTCGGGGGTGGCCAAGGGGTCAAACCAGCAGAGGGGCTCGGCTCATTGTGCGAGCTGCTACTGAGGGTACCCCGAAAGAGCTATTTGGAAAGCTTGTGGACAAGGAGAACACGCTGGTTGAGATCGGCTGGTAGAATTGCAAGCTGACTTTTCAATGGATTGCTTGCTATCAACTATGGATTCGAATTGCTGCACATCGTGCAGTGGCAGAGGTGAGGTCATCTGGAACCCTCGTTCCTTCAAGCGCGGCGATGCATTGGTCATAATTGTATAGGTGCTCGTTTGTCGCGTCGGTGCTTGGCTGTGAGATATCCCAGTCGCCTTCACTCTCGCTGTTGCACATATTGGAGGGTGGTTTCAACAGGGTGAACTTCAACTCAATAAGTTTAGACTAGCCCCGGGCCTGTGGATGAAATCTTTTATTAACAAGCATGTGACTTGAAACACCAGTTTGCTACAAACACAAAAACCGGTCCGTAGAGTGACCTAGGTATTCCCTTAGTGGGTATATTCAGTCTAGGGCGGAATTGCTAGTTTGACGATGAGTGACAAAGAGAGAGGTGTTTCATTATACTATAAGCCGCACGGAAGGCCCAAAAAGAAGCTACAACAATGATGAGAATAGTAAATTAGCATTGCCCCATGCAGATAATGATGACACCGTCAACTCCAGCTTTTACAGTCTTATCATTACAGGTCGCGGGCAGCATGAGACGCGAAAAAATATCATGGAACCTCAAGTCATGCGGAAATCGTAAGAGAAAGAAAAATAAATATGCATGCCATCACCACGGCTAACCCCTGCCGTAACATGAAACTGAAAAGATAAAAAAAAAGACGCAAAGGAGCAATTGCGGAAGAGAACCCCGTGAAAATTACATGCAACGAAGTACTCCTGTACCGCCCGAGTTACCAGAGAAAGAACTTGAGGAGAGATATGGAAGGATAGGTTGAGGATGAGAAGCCGAGAGAAGCCTAGGCGATGGGCCGAGGGCTCTGTTGTTGAATGTGTTGGAGAAGAGCGTCGAAAAGACGACCGATCTGAGGAGCAGTTAGTATCGCGAGATTGTGGAAGATTGGTGGTAAGCTTACCTCAGGTGCCGCCTGAATAAAGGGGAGGCGGAAGAACGAGTAGCTCCGGTTCTGGAGGAGCTCCTGCAGGGTGATGATCAGACCCCATGGATGCGGGCGGTGGACAATCAGCCGCTCCAACAACACACGAATGATTTGCTGGCGGATATCCGAGTCATCTTGCTCAGAGTAGTCCACGCCAAACAGACGGAGAATCGTGAAGCTAAAGAAGTAGGTGTGGCTGTTGGGGTAGCGGAGCTGGTTGGCCATTGCACTAAGCAAGTAGTAGCGGCTTTCGGGCCGCAGAACTTGGGCGATCTTCTCCAGAAGAGCAGCGTGAGTCGAGTTCTCAAAGGCGCTGCGGGTGTTGCCCTTGGAAGCATGCTCCACTGCAGCTTGTTGGCCAATATACAAAACAAGCGCGTTAACCAGGACAACATCCACGTCGACGGGGACAAAGAAGAGGCCAGTGTCCTTGGAATCGGGGTTAAGAATGGCGTCGCAAAGCTGCTGAGCAGCAGACTCGGAGATGCTCTCATTCTGGAGCACATCATCAACGATGTCCTTGATGTTGGCAGCCTGCAAAGGAGCAACGATATCACCAGCAATCTTGGGGATTTCCCGCATCTCCTCGATACGCTCGACCTTCAAACCTTCGCGGAAAGGATCGGGAAGTTTCTGGAACGACGAGGGGTAGGCACTGAGGACAAGATTGCGAAGCTGGGCGCAATGGGCCGGGATCACATTGCAGAACTGGAAATGGTTCTCAGCCACGAACTCGGGGAAATCGTGGTGCAGAATCAACAAGATACGGAGCACGCCCTTGTATAGATCTTTAGCAACGTATGTAATGTTGGCAGCCTTTAGTTGCTCGCCCATATAGGACAGCAAGGCTTGCATGATTTCGCAGTAAGGCGCCCATCCTGCACGATCGGGCATGTTGAGCATGTCAGACATGAACACCCGGTGAGAGACCAAGCAAAGCCAGCCATAAACGAACCCGGGCACGTAACGGGGTTGGAAGGAAAGGAATTTGTTGGCCAAGGCGAAGATCATTCCCTGGTGCTGCTCAGTGTGCTGGAGGCCATTCATAGAGTACTCGCACAGAATGCTTGAGAAGAGACGGAAGAATACACGCTGGTTGAAAGCTTCTCCTCTCATGACCTGGTGGTGGTTGAGGACCAGGACCAAGAGAGACAGAATGGAGTTGAAGTACGTAGCCTTACTGGCTTTGACGGCGCCAGCGCTCTCACCTTGGAATCTGATGAGAAGAATCACGAGCTTAGCGAGGGCATCGATGTAAAGGAAGGCCTCATCAAGGCTGCCGTTGGGGTTCTGAGACTCATGCTCAAACATGGCGACGGAAATGTCGATGCTGAGACGGAAAAATAGTGCGGAGTCCTCCTGGCTGTTCATCACTTGGCGGTTGTGGAGGTCCTGAAGGAAGGAGTGGAAGGTGCGGTCAGTCGCACCGGGGGCCTTGTAAATACCGATCCACTCGCTGAAGATGTACTCCATTTGGTCTCGCTTGGACCTGGCTTGGTCACTAAGGAGGGTATTGACGACCTCAGGAATACCAGACTCGCGCAGCTTTCGCACGATTTCGAGACCGGGAACAACGCTTGGATCCTCGGCAAGCCATTGGCTCATGGCATCTAGACTGCCGGAGAAGTCTGATCGAAGGGCCGAGGGTTCTTCATTGAAAAGAACGCGGTCCATCAGGTTGCCCAGCAACTCCAAAGCGGGCACATTCCTGGATAGAATAAGTCGGGTCAGGTTCGTATCGACCCGACGGATGTCCAGGAGGCCTGCGTCAATGAGAGAAACGGTGACCGGCACATTGAACATGTGCTCATCATCAACTTCGGAGAGCAGTGCCCACGTGTACCGAGCAATGAGACTGGACATATCGCACAGCTTGGCAAGAAGGTGGACGAGAACTTCAATCTCGAGAGATCCATGTGGCTGAGAATACAGAAGGGTGCAAACCTTCAAAGAGGTCAGTCGTGCAAGCTCCTCTCCATTCGTCGAGGCAAGGATGCTGCGCAATGCCTGGTTGTATTCTTGAAGAACCGTACTATCTCTGCCAAGATCCTTGACATGCTCTTCAGGGGCGCTGCGAGCAGACTGCTGGAGGTCGGAGACGAGGCTTTCCACTCTTTCCCGGGGGCTTTGAGCATCAAGGAACCCGTTGGTCTGAACGGGGGCATTTGAGAAACAGCAGGCTGCGCCTGGGGAGTTCTGTGAGGAATGGCTGGCTGCTCAGCCGGGGTGGAAAGGTTTGGAATAGCAGGGTAGGATTCTCCAAGCACGTCGGGGAGTTGACGGCCGGCCGATGCATCAGTGGATGGTGCCGGGCCTCGGGATTGACGGGCAAACTCTTCGTAGATGGCGAGTTGCTCCTTGTTGAGACCGCCAGGCGCTTGCCGGTAAGGTTCTGGGATGAACAATCCCCAACGGTTCATTGAAGGGTCAATGAAAGGGTCGTTAGAGCGACTGGCCTGATGGCGACGGCGGGCTTCCAATTGAGGCTCAATCACCTTCTCGATCTCAGGCAGAGACTTTTCCTCTGCAGCTTTCTCGACAATGCCACAGGCAGCATCCAGGTTATCGTTCACACACATAAGAATTAAGCCCTCGGGCATAGGCTGCTCGGAGTAGTCTTGCTGAATCATGCGGATGTAGTTAGTCATGCTAACCTTCAGAGGCTCTTTGCAGGTGACGAGTGCCAGGCTACCGGCAAGTTGTCGGACCATGATGCCCGCGGCATGGCGCACGCGTTCCTCATCGGGTTCCATGGCAAAGTCCTTGGAGACAAGTTGTACGGTGGAAATGGACGCAATGGTGACAGAGCGCTCAACGACGGGAGTAATGATCTCGGCAATGGCGCGCTCGACTGCAGTGTGCACAATCTGTTTGAGGATGGTGGGGTCGACCATGCTGCTCGCCGATGAGGGCAGGACAAGGATCTTGTCAAGGCTTGGCAGTGTTGACATGATGGCGGCTGGAGATAACCTCTCGTTCCGGATGGCTGGGTTGATAGCGCTGAGGGACAGGTCCTCAAATGGCTCCGCAAGACCCTCTGGAGCGTTAACAGTTGGCAGTGGTTCCTCAGCATGTGCAGCACGATCGCGAATGACGACTGCAGGCTCAATTGTCTTGTGGTCGAGATCAAGATCTTTACAGAGGACTTCAATCTCGAACTTGAGATTGAGCTTCAATTCGGCGAAATGGTAAAGCTCCAACAGCAGGCCCAAAATATCCATCAGCCAGGGATTGGGTGGCTTGAAGACCGTAGATTTGGTGGCCTGCACAAGAACTTTGCAGGTGAAGGGGATCGTAACCATGAGGCGTTGGGTGTCATAGCCTTCGAGAAGTAGGCCCTTGAAGTAGATGTTCTTGTGCTTAATAGGTTTGTCTTTGGCAATAGTAAGCGAACCAAGCCAAGCACCAAGGTTCTTCAGGTGACCGCGATCAGTAGACGAGGTTAAGGTGCCTTCTGAGTTAATCAACTTAGCGACACTGACGTAGGTCTCCCGCAGGACCTCGGCCCATAGGATCTTGTCGCCAATGCGGCCAAGGAGGTCAAGATAGAGCTGCTGGAAATTGGGCTGCAACTTGGCACGTTCTTCCACCAGGTATGCAGCGAACCACTGATGGTGTTGGTCGCGCAAGACTTCTTGCAGATCTTCAAGTTTCTCGTCAATGTTCTGCTCGGAAACATTGTTAAGAACGAAAAGAATCTTGTCCTGAATGTCTTCATCTGGGTCTTCATAGAGTTCAGATCGAAGAGGTGGGTCAAGTTGAACAGCACGGAACTTGCGCACGGAGCCATCAGTGATGGGGGACTCAACAGAATTGCCATTAGTCAGAGGCACAGAAGCAAGACCTTCAAAGGGTCCTGCCTCCGCTTCGCCAATCTGGTTTCCTTGTTCACGGAGCACCTCCTCTGCCTTTTGGTAGATGGGCGTGCCTTGAAGTGAGGGGATTTGGAAGAGCAGGTGGCAGAAACCAGCCCACTCGGGAAGACGGTTGATCAACTGCTCAATCGCTTCCACACCGAACTTATACATCGG